TCTCATTCACCATTATGTCCACAGCAGTTGGTAGAGAGCCATAAACAACAACAAAAATATATAGTTTGCACAAATCAGTTATATCACATGCTTATTATCTACCAGGCTCTAATTTAAGCATTTTATATAACAACTCATTTAATTCTCACAACAACACTGTAAAGTAAGTACTATTATTATCTTCATTTTACACACAGAAAAATGAAACTGCAGAAAAATGTCTCAGAACTAGTAATTGGTGGAGTCAAGTTTTCAGTCCAGTCTGATTTCCAGAGTCTGATCTCTTTCTCATTAATAAAGATTGCTGTACATTTATGCATTTGTTCCACAAATATTTTCTGGTCACCTACTTACGGTGCCTAGCACTAGAGAGAGCAGAGAGCAGTCAGAATCTGTCACCATGGAGCTTAGACTTCTAGTCAGGGGAAACAGACAATAAGCAATTAAGTATGTACTGATATGAGATGATAATAAGTGCTATGGAGAAAATTAATGCAGAGTAAGAAGGACAAGGAAGATGGGGATACTGTTGCTATTTTATGCTAGGTTGTCAGAGAAGAACTCACTAATGAGGTCTCTTGAAGCCAAACCTTGAAATGAGGGAGCAGGCCTTGGGGACATCTGGGAGAAGAGTGTTCACTGTACTATATCCTCTAGTTGTCCCCAGCATCCATTGTCCCCTTCTTTCTTTACTAATGAACCCCTGACTTTAACTCAGATAGATGGTTGCTGAAAATAAAGATCACATTCTGTAGCTTTCCTTGCAGCTAGGGGTATCCATGTGATGAATGATGCGTGCATTGCTAGACTGTGCTCTTAAGGGTAAGGGCATGCCTTCTCCTGCTCTTTCCCCCATCTCACTACTTGGGATGGGGCTCAACACACATGCTGGTGAACTCTCTTGGACTTTGAAGACAAGGACCACTTCCAGGAAGAAGGCAGAACAACTCAAAGGCTGCCATTTAAGCCCTGGAGTACTTATACTTCAACAGTTCTATGAGCGAAAAAGTAAACCTCTATCCTGTTTAAGCCCTTGTGTTTGGGGGGTCTTTTTGTTATTACTGCATACGTGTAGTAGACAGAATGTTAACATGGTGCCCAAGATTTCACGCCCCACTGTGTACACACCATGTATAAGCCCCAGGACTGTGAATATGACAGATTTTGCTTCTCTGATTAGGTTGTATTATATGACATACTTGATTGTAAGAAAAGGAGATTATCTGGATAGGCCAGGCCTAACCACATTTTAAAAGCAGGGAGTTTTTAGGACTTCTCTGGTGGTTCAGTGACTAAGTCCACGCTCTCAATGCAAGGGGCCCAGGTTTGATCCCTGGTTAGGGAACCAGACCCCACATGCTACAGCAAAGACCTGGCACAGCCAAATACATAAATAAATATATAAAAGGCGGGCAGAAGAGAACATGAGAAAGATTTGAAACATGAGAGAGGTTTGAGGCACTGTGCCTGATTTGAAGATGAAGATACCATATGGCAAGAAAGACCAGTGGCCTCTTGGGTGGAGCTGAGAGTGGCACCTGATGCCCAGGAGGAATCAGGGACCCCATCCCATAACCACAAGAAACTGAAGAGTGCCAACAAGAATGAGCTTGGGGACTTCCCTGGCCATCCAATGGTTAAGACTCTGCATTTCCATACACACACGCACAAAAAAACAGAATATGCTTGGAGGAGGATTTTCCCCCAGAGACTCCAGACAAGAACTCAGTCCAACCAACAGCTAGATTTCAGGCTTATGATATCCTGAGCAGAGAACCCAGTCAAGCTGTGCTGAGGGCACTGACATACAGAACTGTGAGATACTAAATGGGTGCTGCTTTCAAGCTGCTTAGTTTGTGGCAGTTGGTTATACCGCCACAGAAAACTTGTCTGTCTCTTAAATGATCGGTAGGCAGAGATGCACTCTACTAAGGCTCTGGGGTGGCAGCATGCTGGGTGTGACTCTGTGAATGGGCAGAGAAGGACAGAGTTCACAGAGGTAGTAGCCAGCTGAGCAATAGCAACTTGTAGGACTTCCTGAGGGAATGAGATGATAAAGCGTTAGTGAGTTTGAGCAGAGCAGTGATATGATCTGCCTGTATTTGAAAAAGGTCACTGGCAGGTCTAAAAAGAGCAGATTGTATGGGCAAGGGTGGAAGCCAAGAGACCAGTTAGAAGATAGTGGAATAATCCAGGTGAGAGGTGATAGTGGCCTAGACCAAGGTTGAGCTCTTTGGTGCTGTTCAGTCGCTCAGCCATGTCTGATTCTTTGGGACTCCACGGACTGCAGCACGCCAGGCTTCCCTTTCCTTCACCATCTTAGTGACTTAGTGGGTTTGGGTTTAGCTCTTAGTGGTGAGAAATACTTGGATTTTGGATATATTTTGAAATTACAGTTTCACAGAATTTTTGCTGAACAATTAGACATGGGATGTGTGCAGGGGTAGGGGTGGGGAACTACCAAGGAAATATTTCATGCAAAGATGGGCACAATAAAGGACAGAAACAGTATGGACCTAACAGAAGCAGAAGATATTAAGAAGAGGTGGCAAGAATACACAGAAGAACTATACAAAAAAGATCTTCATGACCCAGATAACCACAATGGTGTGATCATTCATCTAGAGCCAGACATCCTGGAATCCGAAGTCAAGTGAGCCTTAGGAAGCATCACTACAAACAAAGCTAGTGGAGGTGATGGAATCCAGCTGAGCTATTTCAAGTTTTAAAAGATGATGCTGTGAAAGTGCTGCACTCAATATGCCAGCAAATGTGGAAAATTCAGCAGTGGCCGCAGGACTGGAAAAGGTCAGTTTTCATTCCAATCCCAAAGAAAGGCAATGCCAAAGAATGTTCAAACTACTGCAAAATTGTACTTATCTCACACGCTAGTAAAGTAATGCTCAAAATTCTCCAAGCGAGTTAAGCCTCGCTTGGATCAAGGAGTTTGTCTTACTTGGAATTTTTGATAAAGGTGTGGTAGTCTAGATAGATACAGGCAAGTGCGTGTTGAGTGGGGTGGGGCGTCCCAAACACCCCTGTTGTTGGTGCCCACAGCAACTTACAGGCTCAGTAATAGATAAACAAGCATATGGACTACACCTGCCCACGGCACCCTCAGGATTCCTACTTTCCCAAATCTCCCAGGCTCAGTACCTGAACCAAGATCTTCCAGATGTGCAAGCTGAATCTAGAAAACACAGAGGAACAGAGATCAAATTGCCAGCATCTATTGGATCATAGAAAAAGCAAGAGAGTTCCAGAAAAACATCTAATTCTGCTTTATTGACTGTGCCAAAACCTTTGACTGTGTGGATCACAACAAACTGTGGAAAATTCTTTAAGAGATGGGAATACCAGACCACCTTACTTGCCTCCTGAGAAATCTCTATGCAGGTCAAAAGGCAACAGTTAGCAACAGTTAGAACTGGACATGGAACAACAGACTGGTTCCAAAATGGGAAAGGAGTATGTCAAGGCTGTATATTGTCACCCTGTTTATTTAACTTATGCATAGAGTACATCATGCAAAATGCTGGGTTGGATGAAGCACAAGCTGGAATAAAGATTGCTGGGAGAAATATAAATAACCTCAGATACGCAGATGACACCACTCTTATGAAAGGAAGTGAAGAGGAACTAAAGAACCTCTTGATGAAAGTGAAAGAGAAGAATGAAAAAGCTGGCTTAAAACTCAATGTTCAAAAAACGAAGATCATGATATCCAGTCCCATCCCTTCATGGCAAATAGATGGGGAAACAATGAAAACAATGACAGAGTTTATTTTCTTGGGCTCCCAAATTACTGCAGATGGTGACTGCAGCCATGAAATTAAAAGACACTTGCTCTTTGGAAGAAAAGCTATGATCAACCCAGATAGCATATTAAAAAGCAAAGACATTACTTTGCTGACAAAGGTCCATCTAGTCAAAACTACGGTTTTTCCAGTAGTCATGTAAGGGATGTGAGAGCTGGACCATAAAGAAGACTGAGCGCTGAAGAATTGATGCTTTCGAAGTGTGGTGTTGGAGAAGACTCTTGAGAGTCCTTTGGACTGCAAGGAGATCAAACCAGTCCATCCTAAAGGAAATCAGCCCTGAATATTCATTGGAAGGACTGATGCTGAAGCTGAAACTCCAATGCTTCCGCCACCTGATGCGAAGAACTGACTCACTGGAAAAGACTCTGATGCTGGGAAAGTTTGAAGGCAGGAGAAGGGGATGACAGAGGATGAGATGGTTGGATGGCTTCACTGACTCGATGGAGGGGAGTTTGAGCAAGCTCCGGGAGTTGGTGATGGACAGGGAAGGCCTGCGTGCTGCAGTCCATGGGGTCTCGAAGAGTCAGACACGACTGTACAACTGAACTGACTGAACCTTTGACCCAAGCAACTGGAAAAACTGACTTGCTGTTTACTGAGATGCGGAAGAAAACGAAAGAAACGGGCTTATTTGGGGGAGGAGGCAGTTAGGACTCAGGTTTTGGACCTTTTGAGTTTTTAAGTTTGGGATTCTTATCAGATATCCAGAGTGGAGGTGGGACTCTGTCACATGCTGAGTTTCTATTTATTTTAATCATTCAGGCGATTCCCCCTGCCCTCCGCCACCCCAAACCCCCCAGATTTTGAGATCCTCTGTGATCAAGTTTGTCTTACTTGGATTTTTTGCTAGGGGTGTGGTGGTCTAGGTAGATACATGTGAGTGTGCGTTGGGTGGGTTGGGGTGTCCCAATGATCCCTGTTGTGGGTGCCCGTAGCAACTTACAGGCTCAGTAATAGATAAACAGGCAATATGGACTACACCCGCTCACGACGCCCGCAGGATTGCTACTTTCCCAAATTAAACAAGTTGTTCTTTTCCAGACCTAACCAGCCAGACTGCCTATTCCCAAGGCCTGCGGGCAGAGGGCAGAGGGCAGGTTTGGCCTGGGCCCGCCCCCTCTCCCAGGGCCCCGCCCCTCTCCCAGGGCCCCGCCCCTTCCTGGCACCGCCTGGGATCTCACCCGAGGCTCCGCCTCACGCGACGAGCTAACAGTTCTAACAGTTGGGAGGGATGCGGGCCGCGAGTGAGTCAGCTGCTGGGGATCCCTGCCTTTCGCACCACTGCTCCCAGACACACAGACACACACACATTCTCACCACTGCCCCCCCGTCCCCCGGAGTGTCCCTTTCTCCCACACCCCCTCCCTTCCTCTCCTCTTCCACCTCCTCTTCTTCCTCCCGCCTCCAGCCCGCCTAGTACCCTCCTCTGTACCCTCTCCTCTGCTTTCTGTCCTCAACACGTTCCCTTAGTCCACGGGCGAGGGCAGACGGGACCGGGGCTTTGCTGCCTGTCCGTGACGACCTGTTCCTCCCCTTCAGGCGATCGCCAGGCCCCAGCCTCAGTGACTGTTCTCTGCTGCTCTGAGGTCCTCTGAGTGAGCCCTCTTAGGTGCATCTGCCACTTTGCCTCTACCGGTGGCCATACGAGTGCGTGCCAGTCTCTGTGTGGGGGTGGCTGTGAATAGAGCGAGCCTGTGCCCGAGACCCAAGTCTAAGTTCATCCGTTTCTCCTACAGGCACTTCCCCATGAAACCTCACCAGCACATCCCACTCTCTTCCCTTCCCTTGCCTTCTATGCCCCACAGTCCAGGTGAGGGGATGATGTCAGGGGCAGTGGGAAGGGACTCCTGTGCAGGGAGGGCCCTACCTCCGTCCTGGGCCTGCTTTTCACCCGTCTTAAGGGGAAGCTGTGGGGTGGGTTGAGGGTCTCAGGAAACTGCATCTCTATCCATCTAATGGTCCTAAGTCCCTCCCTTCCCCATTCTCTCAATCCCCTTGACGCTGCCCAGAGCCTAAGCCCCCTTCTCTTGCCCTCTCTTGCGCTGCACCAAGCAGGTGAGACCCATCAACCAGGAGCCTGGAACTGGCAGTTGGATCCCGAGCAGTGGGCAGGGGCAGTTCGACGGCAGTTGAATGCCTGGCTCCTCTTGGTCTCAGATGAAGAGGCATCATCTAAAGCCCTTGAATCTCGGCGCTCCGTAGGTGTCCTGGACGAAGCAGAGCAGCAAGGAGCCTGTCAAGGAAAACAGAGGCAGTCCCTGAAGGCAGTGACTTGGTCTGAGCGCCCCACAGTGCTAGAGCTCCTGGTAGCTGAGCTCCAAACCCTGTTCTCAAAAGTGCTACAGGATGGCAGCCCTGCAGCATGGTACTACCTGCATGCCGTGCTGGGTCTGCTGCCCCCATATCGAGCGCTGCTGGTCGGTCGCCTTAACTTGCTGCCTTTCCTGGAGCGGCTGTACCGCTGGGCACCCTGGGTTCAGGCCCAGCTCCAGCTGGATCTGCTGGACGCCATAGACCAGGCCTTTCCCCGAGACACCTCGTTGTTAGAGGGCACCTCCCATGTTGACTGCTATCCCCAGAAGAAGAGGTTCCATCATGGGACCGCACGCCCAGCATGCCCTTTTGTGCAGGCCCAGTGGGAAGGGCAGCAAGTCGAGGACGATCTGGCCACATGGCTACGACCGCTGACCCTGCCCGAGCTACAGCACAGCCTGGGTATTGTCGGTGCGGAGGTGGCCGTGGAAGAGACCCAGTGGCTAGATGGCCTCAGGCTTCTGCCCTTGGCACTGGCAACCGACATCCCAGTACAGTATGAAAGCAGTGACACTGACATCGCAGAAGAGGAGCGTGTTGGAAGAACAGAGACTAAGTAAGTGAGGAACCTAGTCCAGGGCTTTGAGCAAAGGAAAGAAAAAAACCTCTTCCTTTCTGTCTGCTAATAACCCCAGTGGTCTCAGTGTTAATCCCCTTAGGAAAATGCAGAAATTAATGAAAATCACAAGTCAGCCTCGAGGAAGCCAAAGCTTCAGAAAACAGCCTGAGTTTCTAGACTTCTTTCTCATGTAGTGCTCAGTTGTTTTTCTCACTTGTTCCATAATCCCCGAGTCTTGCCTCTGGGCCTACCTACTGCAGGATAGTCAATCTGGGTCTCTCCCTCAAGATGCCCCTAGGTGAGTGCCTGTCTGGGGGCCCCTTCCACTCATGTCTATGTGAGCTAAACCAGCTCCAAGGCAGACTAGAGTTGGCTGCACTGCCAGCTAGGACTTTTCATTCTGATCCTTCCAGAGTCTTCTTCCCCTGTGAGTGAGGGACTCTTGGCCCTTGGAGTGATGATTTTCGCCCCAGTCTGGCTCTTAACTGCTCTGTAAGGATTTCAGAATGCCTACAGAGACGCCCTCTTCTCAGAATTCTCTAACTTCTAGTCTTGGAATTTCTCCCTGTCTCCTGGCCAGCTTGTCTGCGACACATTCTAGAAACTCAAGCTGTTTTCTGTTTCGTATTCTCTAGGACTGGCTTGCGGGCATTCATACGTTCACTGTCTGGGAAGAAGGCTAGTTTTACCTTCAATCAATCTTGTCATTCTCAATTTTAGCTCTCAGTTTATGGCTGGGTCAAGTTTTTCCTGAAGCCTTAGAGCCTTAACGGTGGGCATATAGGTAGACTCTTGGGGCCCTGATGGAAGGTGGCTAGTGCCTTCATTGTGTATGCCTTCAATTGCCCCACCAGATGCTTCTTTTTCAATGATCTGCCCTGTGCCCTGAGTATAAGTCTCCTTTCCTGGGGGAGTAATCTTGATTGAGTGAGAATGAGCTGAGATGCTTGAAAGAAGTCAAGTTCTTGGTCCTCTTTTTGGAGCTGGCAGTAAACCTCTGAGGTCTAGCTAATTTCACCATATTCCCCAGGACTGGCCTCTCAGACATTCATATATTCAAGAAGTATTATTGGATAAACAATATATATCAGGAACTACTAGATGCTGAGGATACAGAAGTGATAAGAGTGAGTCAATCTCTTGCCTTGGGTTTTGCTGCTGCTGCTAAGCTGCTTCAGTCGTGTCGGACTCTGTGCAACCCCACAGACAGCAGCCCACCAGGCTCCTCTGTCCCTGGGATTCTCCAGGCTAGAGTACTGGAGTGGGTTGCCATTTCCTTCTCCACCCTGGGGTTTTACAGCTTAGTTAAGGGAGATAGATGTTAAATAAGTTGATTTAAGTAAAATAGCATTACAATTTGCGTTAAATGCTACAAAATCAAAGAACACTGCCTTTTCCCTGGGTCTTCCTCTGGGTGTGTGTGTGCATACACATCAGAATTAGGAGAAAGCACATCAGAGGAGTTTGGGTTTAAATTTGGGTTAACAAAATAACTTGAAGGTCAGGAAGTGAAATAAAGTGGAAAATTTCAAAGAGGAGGGAGCAGTCGGTGTTAAGCTTTACCAAGACAATTAAGAAAAATCTGAAAAAAATATTCACTGGATTTAGCAACAAGGAAGAGATTGGTGAGAGCAGTTTCAGTGTAGTTTTGTGATGAGGAAGGCAGACTGTAGTGCATTCAGAAGTGAATGGAAGGGGAAGAAGTGGAAATCATGTTTCATTATTTCATGAAGCTTGGCTTGAAAGAGAGAGATTAGGACAGCAGATTGAAAGAACAGTGGTGTCTGAGTAGGACTCTCAAAAAATGAAGAGGTGTTTATAGCCCTCAAGACAGTCTTTGAGCAGTTGGGTGCTCAATACATATTTGTAGAGTGAATGAATAAGTATAGGCTAACAATAGAAGAAAAAGAGATTGAAAATACTTCATGAAGAGGGGAGAAGGGATCCAGAGCACAAATGGAGGAATTAGTCTTGCAGAGAAGAAGGTCACTCCTTCCTCTCAAATTTGGAGGCAAAAGTAGAATGGAAATATGTATAGATAAATGTGTGGGAAGGCAGCTGAACTTGAGGGAGTTATTTCATGGCTGAGAGGATCAATTTTCGCTGGGCAGGGACAGAAGCAAAGAAGAGGACTGGGAGCTCGGCTGGGCTGAGCATGGGGTTGGGGAGGTGGAAGTCTGCAATAGCAGTCAAGGAGACTGCAAGGGGTAGCTGCCTGAAGACTTGTACTAAGACATCAAGCAGAGTGAGCCCACAGATGAGACTGGACTCCAGTAGTCTATACAGGAGATGATGTTTCTCTTCTGAGATCTACTGAACCTGCTTAGTACAAGTAGGGCTTTAATTATTGAGGAAATGAAACTTTAGTGCAGTTACACCATTAAGATGTCCTGATCTAATGTCAAAATCACAAACCCTGTTGTTGATGTGAGCTTCATTTAATTAATTAATTAATTAATTAATTTTTGACTGTTCTGGGTCTTCATTGCTGCCAATGGGACTTCTCTAGTTGCGGAAACCTGGGGCCACTCCCCAATTGTTGTACTAGGGCTTCTCGTTGCGGTGGCTTCTTTTGTTGCAGAACACAGGCTCAGCAGTTGTGGTGTGAGGGCACAGCTGCTCTGTGGCCTGTGAGATCCTCCAGGACCAAGGATTGAACCCGTGTCCCCTGCATTGGCAGGTGGATTCTTAACCACTAGACCACCAAGGAAGTCCCGATGTGAAGCTTAGGATGGCATTGTAGCCCTGGAGTAAGTTGTTCTGTTGATCTAGATTTGGGTTAATTAATGGCATGAATATACTTGGACTGATTAAATCTAAACTGAATTATTCAGAGGGTTTTTGGTTTGTTTTATTTTTGTGCTCTGAGTTTACTCACCAAATCTGTTAGTCCAGGTCATTGACTTTTGGCTTCTCTAATAATAATTAATTTTAATACCAATTTTATCAGCTGGTATGGTAGAAGGGTAGGAAGACTGATGGTATTGGTGCAGGCTTGAGGGTGCTGAAGGATGTATAGTTGGATCCCAGCTGGGAAGAGATGGATGTGAAGGTGGAGTTTGGGTGATGATGGAGAAAAAGCAAGAAAGAACCCCCAGGCGTGGAGATCATGAGTTGGAAAGCAGGTATAGTGGGGACAAAGATAGGAGATCGAGAAGGCTAGGAAGGTTGCCAGAGAGGAGATATCTAGGACTGTGGGCTTGCAAGGTGATGAGTTGGGACAGCAAAGTATTCCCATGACTTTTACTGAGTATTATGTAATACTGATATCATAGTAATCACAATCAATCCAGAACGATTACTCATTTATCAGAAAGGGAATGGTTCTTCACACACAGATCTGAATGACTGCAGCTGCCTGACTATGTCACCTCTTGGACTGTATTTGCTCAGCATGCAAACCTTTGGGTGTAGATGGTTGACAGGCTCTAACAAGGCCACATCAGGTCCTCTCAGGCACCTAATCTAGCTCCTTTGTTCACTGGCAGACAGTAGCCTCCTGACCGCTTTGCTCTGCCTCTTCTCTCCTGACTTTGTATCATACAGGTCTCAGCTCGACTTGGAAGTTCCTGAGAAGACCATCCAAAAAAGAAGCACTGGCTTCTTACCACAGATGTCCCTCCTGGGTAGCCAGATAATGACCATTATGAAGACAGAGAGATACCTGAAGAAGATCCACTTCCTTTATCTCAACGTGGCTCCCAGCCGCTACTTTACGTGAGAGCCCATGCCCAGACCCCTGACCTGCTCCTCCCGCTCCGACTTCCCCCCACACTGTCTTCCCCTCCTCCTTCTCTCCAGACCTGCTATTTTCCTGTCTTTCTCCTCTACCCTCTCATTTCTTTCTGTCTCCTAGGTTCCCTCTTTCTCCCCTTCTCAGCCTTCTCTCCACACTTCACTTCCTCTTGCTCCCCTTTGCTCTCATAGCTTTTCGTGTTAGTCATTCTTTTCTACTTTTTGCTCTGTCTTCTTTATTTTGTCCTAGCATGACAGAAACATTTGGTCATCACCTCAGAAGGGAATTTGATGGTGAACTCTTCTAACTCCAGCGCAAGAATCAGGTGTTCATTTAAATCTTAGTGTTTCACAAGGCATCATTTTCCTTAGACTACGTTCCTTTAACTTTTACCTTTTGGTCCTCATTTTATCTCTGTGCTATGAAAACAAGTCTTCTGAAAAAAAAAAAAAGGAAAACAAGTTTTCTTCTATATGACTCAAGAGTCATTCATTCACTTTCTTCCATTAGATCAAAATCTTAGTATTTTTAAAAGCCCTATTCAAGTCTCTTCTCTTCCCAGAAATATCAGTAGTAATTACCATTAATTAAGCTTTTTAAAAATACCTGTGTCGTTTAATCCCCACCTACCAGGTAGGTGCGATTATTATTCTATATATAAGATCAGTAGACTGATGCATAGACAGGTTACGTGACTTGTCCAAGACCACATAGTAAGTGGTAGAAACAAGACTGAAACCTGGCCCTGTCTTAACTCAAAAGTCCATAGTCTTGAGCAGTATCTGATATCTACTCCCAGGAATCTATATATCCTGCATACACTGACCTCTTTCTCCTGAACTTAAGTGGGACTAATGATCTGTACCATCCACTGACTTACTGATCAATTCATTTAACAAAATCTCATGAAGAGCATTGTGCTCATTATTAAGCAATTGTCTCTTGTCTCTAGTCCTGCTCTTCTCTCTCTGCTTTGTAATGCTGGGGCTGGGACTCTGTAAACTTCATTTCTCTTTTTTCAGCTAGCTTCCTGTTAGTTTTGATTAATAGGGGATGCTAGAAGGAGACTGGATAGCAAGATAAAAGGAGAAGGGACTTTGTCCTTCCTCTGCTTTCCCTTCATATCATTACCCCAGAAATGGTCATTCTCTCTGCCAGCAGCAGGCACTTTCTGAAGTAGCCTCTTCCTGATCCTGGCACTGCAAGAGGGATCAACGCCAGTTGGGGTAGCACTTTCCCATCAGAGTTCTGAATCGTAACTCTACAAGGCCCCTCCTCAGAACTCCTTATTTACTAGTAGCAGCCAGGCGGCATTCCTTAGAAATCCAAGTCCCTGTGCTACAAGCCCCGCCTCCAAATCCATGGCTTCTGAGAACCCAAACTTCTTTCCTTTGTTCCTCTAGTCTTCGGGCTGGCATCCATTTCCTGTGGCTGTTGTTTCTTCTCTACCTTAGTTTTTTCCCTGTTTGCTTTTCAGGTGTCCTCTGACACCTTTTCTAAAACACGTTTTCTTTATTGAATTCACTTTGTTGAAATGCTGAATGCAATTTCTGTTTTCCTGACTGGACTCTGATATAGTACTTGGCATCATGAGTGGTCTCAGGAAATGATCCTCAAATATGGGATTCTGATATTGGTTTGGTAATGTCCTTGGCCTTGGAAAGTACTAGGCTTCTTGCTAATGGGAAATAGCATGCTAGTAATCCATGACCTGTGGTGACATCACAACTAAATTGTCACTGTAGTTGAAGATGATGAACTACCTACTGACACCTAGTGGCTGCTACACTTGATTGTCCCTCAGTTGTGATAGTAATGGTAGCAATGTGGGATGGGAGCCCTGTTGACAATGGTGAAGAGCTTATAGAAAGAAAATGACAAGCTTAGGGCTTTCAACTATCAGCTCAGTCATAATCAGAGAAGCAACATAATCAAAGATAATTAGGCACAGAGAGAAACAAGAAACCATGAGCAAGAGAACTAAAAAAGCAGTGAATAATTACAGGGCCCACATCTGCCCAGAAAGGAACACAGTGAAGTGAGTTTTGCACTTGTTGCTGCTTTTCTCCAAACAGAGATTCCAGTAGAGGCAGTGGTGTGTCAGTTTTACTATATGCTCCTGAAAGATAGAAGAAAGAAAGCTGAGCTTTCTTCAGACTCCGAAAACTAAAGAGCAGAAGTGGGTTTAAAGCAGATTTGGTTTTAAAACAAAAGAGCTGGGGGCCCACACTAAGGAGGGAGGTGTTTTCTGGTTCAACCTGTGTTGTAACCAGAGTCCCATTTGGAAGCCCAGGGGATTTAACTTGTGGGTTCTCTGATGATTTTCATGTTTTATCTGGATACTTTGCCCAGTTTTTCTAGTTGTTCTCAAGGGGAATATTGGTCCATATTTCTAGTGCACCATCAGTAAGAGTGGAAACCTGGCATTTTTTGTTTCACTTTGAGGTTTTCTTTCAGTGTATTTGCAGTTATCAAAGTTTTCTTATATTTGTCCTAGATTGCCACGCTTGCAAGGATCTCAGTCCAGGCCAGGGATTGAACCTGGGCCACAGCAGTGAAAGCCAGAAATCCTAATCTCTAGGCTACCAGGGAACACCCTGTCCTAGATTTTGATTTATACTTCAGTTCGGTTCAGTCGCTCAGTCGTGTCTGACTCTTTGAGACCCCATGAATCGCAGCACACCAGGCCTCCCTGTCCATCACCAAGTCCCGGAGTCTACCCAAACCCATGTCCATTGAGTTGGTGAAGCCATCCAACCATCTCATCTCATCCTCTATCATCCCGTTCTCCTCCTGCCCTCAATCTTTCCCAGCATCAGGGTCTTTTCCAATGAGCCAACTCTTGGCATGAGGTGGCCACAGTACTGGAGTTTCAGCTTCAGCATCGGTCCTTCCAGTGAACACCCAGGACTGATCTCCTTTAGGATGGACTGGTTGGTTTATACTTAGGGAAGAATATATTCCTTCACTTCCTTCGGGTCTTTGCTCAGCTCTCCCTGACTCCTGCCCTGTGCAGGAAGAATAGCCTCCATTAAGAAGGCCACAGGGGAAGGAGCATGCCCTTGGGAAGTCAGGCCTCAGTTAGGATAGGTCTCTATCCTGGGGGATGCTGCATAACCCAGTGGTTAAGAGAAGGGGGCTTTAGTCAGGTAGATTTGCTTTTTAAATCCTGGGCTTCCCTGGTGGCTCAGTGGTAAAGAGTCTGCCTGCCAATGCAGGAGATGCAGGTTCAGTCCCTGGGTGGGGAAGATCCCTTGGAGAAGGAAATAGCAAACCACTCCAGTAGTCTTGCCTGGGAAATCCCATTGACAGAGGAGCTTGGTGGGCCACAGTCCATGGTGTCGCATAAGAGTTGGACACAACTTAGCAGCTAAACAACAGAAATTCTTTCCTTAACTGCCTTGTGCAAACTTATGACTTCTCTTTGTTCAGTTTTCTCATCTGTAATTTGGGGATAATAGTATACTTAAGAAGATCTAGTCACTTTGTCAGAAATGAAATAAAGTTTTTATATGATTTGACTTACTGAGTTTATACTGATACTTATGTATATGCCCTTGAGTCATTTGCTTAATAATTTATGAGGGAGTGATGGGAGAGAGAGAGACAGAGAGAGAGAGAGAGGAGGGCGGTTTTACCTTTTAGGCATTATATGCATTGGACTTGGGACACACAGCTTTTAAAGGGCTAAAAAATATTTTTAGTGCTTAAAAATATTACTGACTCCATGTTATGAAAAGAAAACTGCGGGATAAAAATTAATAAATGCCTTATTAAATGTGCCCAAGCATAGCATTATGGCAACTATTTTACCTCAGCTAGATATAGCACATAATTTATATGTTACATACTTACATATAGAGTGTATTTAATGTGGGATATGGGAGCATTTTCCTGAAATAAGACAACTTACTAGGATTATAAAATAGCTCTGGAGGAATTTATCTGGTTCACTAGATGGCAGTTTTCCTCTTTATTGGCCTGTGTCTAGTGTTCTAGTTACCCTTGCTTTCCCCCATTCTCAGTTACTCCAAACAGCCTTCCCTGATTATCTCTGTATGTTATTTCAGCATGTTGGATATACATATTTTATCATTTCTAAGATGTACATTTTTTTCACATTTCAACATTTCTGAAATTGTCATGCATGTTACAAATTGGTGGCGTATCATATTGACAGCATTTTTTCTTTTAGTGTTTCATGAAAGAATGCTGCGGCTTACAATTGATAGCATCTTAGATTTGATGGGATGTATGTTTTCTGTGTCTGGAGATATGAACTTCTTGGAACTGGCTAAGAGCCTTTTTCTTTCTTCCCATCTGTTTTTGGCTTCCTTTTTCTTCTTAATATCACATCTTTCTGGTTTGAAAATCATTCTGCTCTCTTTCCCCCTCTTCCCACTGTCTTCTGCCTTCCTTTCTGCCTCCTTGTTCCCCCTTTCTGTCCTTCTTTTGTCCCTCCCTGGAGTCTGCACAAACTCCCAAGGCCCCCACTGATCTGTGCTCTGGTTTAAAGGCCTTACAGCCTGATGGTGGTGCCACCCAACAAGGTGAACCCCGAGCACTACATCTTCTCTCCCTTCGGGATCCTGCACGTGCATCCCGTGGAGGGCAGTGAGGCGATGACACTGGGAACCTGGCACCACCACTCTGTCCTCTGGCAACAGCTCCAGCTTATACCGTTCTTCAAGTATTGCCTCTTACGCAAGGCCTTAGCCAGGTAGGTGATGGTGGGTATGGGGTTTGGGAAGAGGCATCACAAAGAGCCACAGTACCTGTCACTTCCCTCTGGTTTGTAGCTGGAAAAAGGGTGTGAAGCTGCAGAGGTTGCACCAGCATCGGTCTTTCCTAGAGAAACACCTGCTCCTGGCTGTCCCCCACTTTGGAGCTGGGCTGCTTCATATCAACAGGTGAGGTCTTCAAGGCACAACATCTATGGACTTTTTTTTTTTTTTTTACTTCTATGGACTTAAAAAAAAAATGTATTTATTTGGCTGTGCTGGGTCTTAGTTGAGGCATATGGGATCTAGTTCCCTGACCAGGGATTGAATCCAACCTCACTGCATTAGGAACACAGAGTTCTTAGCAACTGGACCACCAGGGAAGTCTCTGCAGTGGACTTCTGAAAATTATTTTATAAACAGTAACATACATGATCATTTTAGAAGATTTGGAAAATACAAAAAGAGCACAAATGAAAAACTCTTCAATCTCACCATCTATAGATAACCATGACATTTTGTCACATATTCTTATAGTCTTTTTTCCCATCATATTAACAAATGCAATCATACTTCACATAATTGTTATGTAACCAGTTTTTTCCTCTGAAAAATATATTCTGAACAGATCTATGTATTAATAAATTTCTATATCAACTTTCTCCAGATTGTCCAGTTATTAAGTATCAAATATGAGGATGCAATGTAGGTATTTGAAACTCTGCTCTTACCATGGTATTACTTGAATTCTCTCTTTTTTTAAGAAAAACTTAGTTTCTCCTGTTTTCAATTCTTTCTTACTTTCTCTGCACAACTCCTCAACTATTGCAGTTATCTTCTGTGATAAGAGTTGCAAGCTCAGATGCCTGCAGGGCCCAAGGAAAAGCTGTGGAAGAAACACAGTGGGCTGGATTCAAGACATTAGGGAGCATGGGACTGCAGTCAGCTTGGGGATTGCACCTAAAGAGGACAGTCACTACTCAGTTCCAATTGGTTCTTTTTTTTTTTTTTTTATTTTTTTCAGGATGACCTAGGAATCCACATTTTGTTGTAAAATCTCTTAATTTTATCTGGTTATCTTTTAATTTTTATTAAAACACCAAAAAGTTTTATTAAAACACTGTGCTGGCCAACTCTTAGTGGTACATACAAAAACCCTTTCATTCTGAATTTGGTCCATGTGCTACCAGTTCATAACCTCAGCTCTAGATTTTCTCCAGTCTAGCTTAATCATCATGGCATAATTGGCTGCACAGATCCGAATTTAAGTCCTGAACACTAGCAAGAGAACTTATTCTTTGAGCCCCAGTTTCCTGATCTGAAAACAAAAGAAGATTTTTGCTACTCACAGCTGTTAAAAAAAAAAAAAAGTCACAGCCATAACCAACTCTTTGCAACCCTTTGGACTGTAGCCTGCCAGGGTCCTCTGTCCATTGGATTTTCCAGGCAAGAATACTAGAGTAAGTTTCCATTTCCTTCTCCAGGGGAGCTTCCTGACCCAGGGATCAAACCAGCGTCTCCCAAGTCTCCTGTTTTGTAGGTGGATTCTTTACTTGATGGCTTCCCTGATAGCTCAGTTGGTAAAGAATCTGCCTGCAATGCAGGAGACCCCAGTTCTATTCCTGGGCCGAGAAGATCTGCTAGAGCAGGGATAGGCTACCCACTCCAGTATTCTTAGGCTTCCCTTGTGGCTCAGCTGGTAAAGAATCTGCCTATGGTGAGGCAGGACTGGGTTCGATCCCTAAGTTGGAAAGATCCCCCAGAGAAGGGAAAGGCTACCCACTCCAGTATTCTGGTCTGGAGAAGTCCATGGGGTCCCAAAGAGTCAGACATTACTGAGTGACTTTCACTTTAACTTACTTTCACTGTGTTTACTCAACGAACCAGCAGTGAGAATTAAATGAGATAGTGAATATAAAGTACCATATTCAGTGCCTCAATAGGAACTGAGTAAATGATACCCATGTGATCATCCTCTGTTTATCAGGGAGCCCATTTTTTCAAGGATATTTTGAGATGTAGATTTTTCAGGGTGGTTGTGGGGGGGAGTAGATAACAGAAGTGGGTTTCTTCAGGGATGGTCAGCCCATAGGGAAGTTGGAGGTTCCTTACCTTTGATTCTAAAACTTGCCTGTCCATCTAGACTGTAAAGACCAGTGGCTTTCCTTATTCCAAGGAAGAAGCCTCTGCTGTCTCTCCTTCTAGTCAGACCCTAGGATTTCTTTGGCCTTCTTTCCTTGCAGAAAGGGTTACCCAGTGTAAACATTTGTGCATACCCCAAACCTTTGCCAAAGAATTCCACAGCTAGCAACACCCTGGGCTTAACCTCTTCTGAAGAACCCTCAAGAGGAGGCTGTCACTGTCGGTCTCTGGGAACATTATGCTGTCTCTAAACCTTTGCTTATTCTGGGGTGAGCTGGACTAGGAATAAGTCAAAAGAGTCCAAGGAAGGAGGGCAGAGTCACCAGCTCTGACCAGTTTAGCCCTTGATTCCAGACTCCTGCAGGAGCTGCATTCTGTGTCCTGGCTCCCCCATGAAGCAGATCAGTGCTACGAGCTGCTGGACCTGCGGCGGGCTCTAGCCAAGGAGAACCACAAGGCCCTGCGGCTGCTCCATCGCTGCCTGCGTCTCTGCACATCCATCCTTCATCTGGTAAGAGGCTCCCATTTATGGTGAGATTTCTCTCCAAGCTGAACACACCAGGGTTTCAGCTATCTCTTGGCTTAAGCTTCCCTGTATGTTCTGGACTCTGCAGTGGGCTGAGTCTTTGTCCTATTTACCAACAGCAGCCTGTACTCTAAGTAGATGGATTAGTAACAAATAGGCAGAGACTTAGATTCAATCTTTACCTAAAGGCTTGAGCGGAGTCAAGAAGGAACATTCGTGCCAGGAGCAGTTAGAGAATTTGAAAGTTGGGATCCTGATCTTATGTGTTTCTGGGCTTGTTCCAGAACCTCTCTTGAGCTTTTGATAGGCCTCCATGGCTGATAGAAGCATCCAGTCATGGGGTCCTTCCTTCTTGTGCCGACTTCACATCTGTGGTACATGCCCCGTGCGTGCCTGCCCAGCCTCTCAGTCGTGTCTGACCCTTTGGGACTCTTATGAACTGTAGCCCACCAGGCTGCTCTGTCCAGGGGATTTGCTAGGCAAGAATACTGAAGGAGGTTGACATTTCCTACTCCAGGGGATCTTCCTGACTGAGGGATTGAACCCACATCTCCTGCTTGCAGGTGGATTCAGCATGTCAGCTTTAAATCTATAGATCAATTTGGGGGAGAATTGATATCCTAACAATATTTAGTTTCCTAATCCATGACATGGATCTATTGATTTATTTTGATTTCTTTAATTACTTTTGACAGGATTTTGGAGGTTTCCTGTAAAGGTCTTGAACATATTTATCATTAGATTTGTTCATTAGATTTATTGCTAGATACTAGACATTTTTTGTTGCTATTATAAATGGTATTTTAAAGCATTGCTGTTTTCTGATAGTTGCTATACCATACACAAAAATTAATTCATAGTGGTTAAAAGTAAATGCAAAAAGAAAATTTTAAAAGCTTTCAGTTTCATCCATCTCATTAGAACTGATTCAAATGAATTCTTTTTAATGGCTGAGTAATATTCCATGGTGTATATGNCACTGAAGAATTGATGCTTTTGAACTGTGGTGTTGGAGAAGACTCTTGAGAGTCCCTTGGACTTCAAGGAGATCCAACCAGTGTATCCTAAAGGAGATAAGTCCTGGGTGTTCATTGGAAGGACTGATGGTGAAGCTGAAACTCCAATACTTTGGCCACCTCATGCGAAGAGCTGACTCACTGGAAAAGACCCTGATGCTGGGAGGGACTGGGGGCAGGAGGAGAAGGGGACGACAGAGGATGAGATGGCTGGAAGGCATCACCGACTCGATGGACATGAGTTTAGGTAATCTCCGGGAGTTAGTGATGGACAGGGAGGCCTGGCATGCTGCGATTCATGGGGTCGCAAAGAGTCGGACACGACTGAGCAACTGAACTGAACTGAACTGATATTAAAATTAACTTTTTAAAAATCACCATTGAAAAAATGAAAGGACAAGCAAGTGTAACACTTGCCACTTCCTGTGCTGCTATGTGCAGTGGAATGGAACCAGTCCCTGTTGGCAGTCACCCCAAAGGTGGGGTGCAAGGGCAGTAAGGCAGAATCAGTGATCATCACAGCTAGAAACTGAACTGTTACAGAACCAAGCTTATAATCTGTGCTAAATAAAAGCATGCTGCTGTCCATTAAAATGTAGCATTATTGAATCACTCGGATAGAAACAAATAATGATATTATATGTGAGTGTTTTAGGTACTCATCAATTTTTAAGGAAGTTTCCATCAACTCCTAGTTTGTTAAGAGGTTTTATCATGAATGGGTATTGAATTTTGTCCAGTGATTTTTTTTTCTTCTTCTTCTATTTAGATGATCATGTAATTTTTCTCCTTGAGTCTGTTAATATGGTAAATTGTCAGTGTTAGCCCACCTTTGCATTACTAGTATAAACCTATTTCCTTCCTTCCTTCCTCCTTCCCTCCTTGAGTAGTTGAGGCGTGGGCTTAACTGTTCCTTGGCATGTGAGATCTTACTTCCCTGACCAGGCCTCAAACCTGTGTCCCTGAATTGTAAGGCAAATTCTTAATCACTGGACCTCCAGGGAAGTCCCCTAACCAGCACTCCTGATTCCTTGTTTCCTGCTGTTTTTTTTTTCACACCACTCATAATCTTTGCATACAATATAAATTTACTATTTATTATGTTTATTGTATGTATTCCAACAAGATGGTAGGAATTTTTGTTTCATTAACTAGTATGTTTCTATTACTTACTGTAGTGTATGACATACAGTAGGTGCTCAGTGAATATTTGTTGACTGAATGAATGCCAAGTTGAGTTTGTATCTATATTTTTCTCCCAAGCAGAATAAAACCTTGGCATTCTTCTAATTTTCTTTTTCTCCTCTCCCTACCCTCCACCCTTCTCATTATGTTTTTTTGGATATCTCCTGGAATTTTAGCCCTACATTGTTAAAAACATTTTTGGTTTATGGCTTCTCATTTAGAATTAACAATATATTTCACAATTTTTTGTTTTTTGTTTTTTTTTGCTCATTACAACTTCTTGTAGACCACTTTATCTTCTTGTATTCATTTTCTTCTGTCAGAAATATACTCTTTTTTTTCCAGAGAGAATCTGTGGATGGTAAATTTTTAGAGTTTTTGTATATCTAAAAATGTCTTTATTCATCTTCAAACTTCAGTGATACTGTGGCTAGATATGGAATTNCTTTATTCATCTTCAAACTTCAGTGATACTGTGGCTAGATATGGAATTCTAAGTTTTATTTAAAAGTTCTCCTTAGAACTTTAAAGATATTGCCCCTAGTGGTAAGGTTTTAAAAATGTATATTGATTATGTTCTGTTGTAGTTATTATTGTTGTTGTTAGTTTGTTTTTTTAAAGAATATCCATTTTCTATTTTTATTATTTTTTTTGAAGTATAGTTGATTTACAGTGTTTCTTTACCAACTGAGCTATCAGATTAAAAATCTCGTTAGAACTTTATTTTTTATTCATTAGAACTTTAAAGATAATGCCCCTCACTTCAGTTCAGTTGGTCAGTCATGTCCAACTCTTTGCGACCCCATGGACTGCAGCACACCAGGCTTCCCTGTCTATCACCAGTTCCCAGAGCTTACACAAACTCATGTCCATCAAGTCAGTGATGCCATACAACCGTCTCATCCTCTGTCGTCCTCTTCTCCTTCTGCCTTCAATCCTTCCCTGCATCAGGGTCTTTTCTACTGAGTCAGTTCTTCGCATCAGGTGGTCAAAGTATTAGAGTTTCAGCTTCAGCATCAGTCCTTCCAACGAATATTCAGGACTGATTTCCTTTAGGATTGACTGGTTTGATCTCCTTGCAGTCCAAAGGACTCTCAAGAGTCTTCTCCAACACCACAATTCAAAAGTATCAATTCTTCAACGCTCAGCTTTCTTTATGGTCCAACTCTCATATCCATACATGACTACTGGAAAAACCATGGCTTTGACTATAGAGGCCTTCATTGGCAAAATAATGTCTCTGCTTTTTAATATGCTGTCTGGGTTGATCATAGCTTTTCTTCCAAGGAGCAAGAGTCTTTTAATTTCATGGCTGTAGTCACATCTGCAGTGATTTTGGAGCCCCAAAAAGTAAAGTCTGTCACTGTTTCCNGTAGTCTGAGCATTCTTTGGCATTGCCTTTCATTGGGATTGGAATGAAAACTGACCTTTTCCAGTCCTGTGGCCACTGCTGAGTTTTCCACATTTGCTGACATATTGGAATTCCATCACCTCCACTAGCTTTGTTTGTAGTGATGCTTCCTAAGGCCCACTTGACTTCACATTCCAGGATGTCGCTCTAGGTGAGTGATCACACCATCGTGGTTATCTGGGTCATGAAGATCTTTTCTTCTGTGTATTCTTGCCACCTCTTCTTAATATCTTCTGCTTGCATTAAGTCCATACGTTTCGGTCCTTTATTGTGCCCACCTTTGCATGAAATATTCCTTTAGTATCTCTAATTTTTTTGAAGAGATCTCTAGTCTTTCCCATTCTATTGTTTTCTTCTATTTCTTTGCATTCATATAATGTCCCTAGTGGTAAGGTTTTAAATAGATTATACTCTATTGTAGTAATTATTGTTGTTGTTAGTGTTTTTTTAGAATCTCCTTTTTCTCTCTAATTTTATTGTTTATTGAATTTTGATTGATGTATAGTTAATTCACAATGTTGTGCCAATCTCTACTGCACTAAGTGACTCAGTTTTACACACACACATACACACATGTATATACATTCTTTTTAAAATATTTTTCATTATAGTTTATCCCAGGATATAGAATATAGTTCCCTGTGGTATACAGTAGGACCTTGTTGTTCATGGTTTTACCTAGGTGTCACTCAGTAAGTCTTCTCAGTGTGAGATGATACCTTCTTTTGACAAACATTTACAATGGAACTAACCATTCCAGGCTCTGTGTTAAGCAGTTAGGGTTAAGTGTAACAGAAGCAAATAAGGAGTAAATTCCTTAGAGAGTTTACAGTGTAGTGGACAAGTCACACGAATTGATAATGGTGCACTGGACTAAGGACTGTGGTATAGGAACCAGTGGGTATTGAGGGCATTGCTAGAGCATGGAAGAGGACACCTCACCAAGTATCCAAGTCAAGTTTGTATACGACATGCCTAACTTAGGTTTCAACTGCCTTATGTTTGGGTCTCAGAAGACTAGGATCTGAGCTCAGAGTGAGCAAAATATAATTCATAGCTACCTCATAGTTCTCACCACAAGCTCTGTTGAGCATCAGAAAGGATAGGGGAGCCGCAGGGACAAAAGGGTCCATCTGGCCAAACGTACCTTCCTGGTGTCTCCCCTCTGTTCCTCATCAGGACAGGCCAGAGAGGTGACAACTATCAGCACTCTTGTAGGCTGAGGAACTTCCCAGTTGTGAGATGAACCCACAAAGAGGCTCCCAGGCTTTTATCCCACATTTCCCGCCCCCCACTAGAAAGTCTATGTCAGTAGCCAGAGAGAGTTTCTGCTCTCACAGAAGGCTATGTTATGCTGGTAAGCATGCCATATCAACCAGACCTAGTGACTGGACATCATAACCTGGAATCATTACTGAGCCTTATTTGTTGAATATTTCTTTTTTTTCTTTGTCTAATCTATGCATGACAAATCTCTCTATTTACACATGCACAAACTTTCTATTTGAGTCCCCCCTCCCCGGGGGTGTTGGAGGAGACCCTAGTTTGATTCCTGAGTTGGGAAGATCTGCTCGAGAAGGGATAGGCTACCCACTATAGTATTCTTGGGCTTCCCTGGTGGCTCAGATGGTAAAGAATCCACCTGCAATGCAGAAGACCTGGGTTCGATCCCTGGTTTGGGAAGATCCCCTGGAGAAGGGAACAGCTACCCACTCTGGCTTAGAGAATTCCAGGACTGAGCAACTTTCACTTCACTGGGGGCATTTGGCAGACAGACCTGGCCTATCAAATCAACTCATTGTAGCCTCTCAATATATGTTCTGCATTTCACATCTTCTCTGGTCCCTTAAAGATTTCCGGAGCCAATCTCTACAAAGAAGCAGCCCTCCATCGGCATATCTAGGGTCGAGGTTTTATACTCTGAGACCCAAGAGCTTTGCAACAGACCAGTGGGTGGCCAGTTTGGTCTCCATTCCCCTTTCTCCAGTGAACTTTCCACTCTCCTGACAGATCCACGAGGATACATACCACATGCAACAGGGCCTGCAGAAGCGACTGAAAAACTGCAAGAGGATCAGGACAGACCAGACCTCTGTGTACCTACAGAAGGTGCAGTGCCAACAGCTGGAGCAGAGGCTGAAGCAGGCAGAGGCCTGGTTGCTGCAGATGGGACAGCTGGCCCGCTTGGTAGACTATATGATCTGCCAGAACCTTGTGTCCATCATAGAGGAGAAGATAACCTCTTTTGTGGCCAACATCCTGCAAGTGAGGTGGTGGGCAGTATGTGGGAAGGCGGGCAGGCGGTCAGGGGCCGACTGGCGGGACACAAGAGCTGACCTGTAGCCCCACAACCTCTCCTGACCTTTCTTTACAGGCCCCAAGGCAGAAACCCTTTCTCTCCGCTCAGCTGGTCTTTGACAGTCATGGTCAGCTGTCTCATGAGCCCTGTATTGAAAATATGATCCAGATTTTAACTGCGGGCCTAAGTTCAATGAAGGCCTCTGCCCTTAAGGTATTCTGGCTTGGGCAGGGGGCTGGCTGGAGGAATTCCCTACAGGGAATACCCTGTTTCTATCCTCTAGAATCAGAAGCTCTCAGTCTGGTCCGAACCCTCATTGTTTGCTCTTTTTGCCCCTTCTTTGCACTTTGGCATGAAGGTAATGCAGTCTACAGACCTGAAGACCTTCTGGGATTCCCTGTATATTGAAGGTATTTAAGGAGCCCTAGGCAGTGGGGAGGAAGGGTGGAAGGAGGGAGAAGGGCACGTGCAATGTCCTAATGGCCATAGAGTCAGGCACTGGACGTGGACAGAGCAGCTCCAACCTGGGTCTGAACATGTGTTGAGGGGTAGGAGGGTAGAGGCATTTTTTTGCTCCTCATGCATGTGCCAATGGGATTTTGTGATGAGTGGATGCATTGTATGTGAGAGAAGAGAGTCAAAGATAACTTCAAAGTTTTTGACTGGACAACCTGGAAGAATGGAGTTCCCGTTTACTGAAGTTGGAAGACTGCATGAGGAGCAATTTGGAGGGGAGTGGGTGGAGATCAGAGCCCACTTTTGGCTGTTGAAAGTTTGAGGTGCATGCTAGACATCTAGGTAGACATGTGGACGAGGCAGTTGTTTAAATGGGATTGGGATTCAGGGAGAGATCTGAGTTAGACACAAATTCCAGAGAAAATAGATGGTATTTAAAACCATGAAACTGGGTTAGTTCTAGAAAGTGAGTCCTGATGGGGAAGGGAAGAGATCTGAGGACGGGCTCTTGGGAGGGGGCACCGTGGTACATGTTTGGTGTATGAATCTAATTTATGAACATTTTGATGCCTCGTCTCCCTTTTTGTGCAAAGCTTAACACAAATACCGAAGTTGGCAATTAACCAGTTTCTAAGAATTAAGGCGAAGGCCCGGTTCAAGGATATTCCTTAAGACAGGCGCTAAGGACTGGCTTGCTCAGCTTCCTTCCCCACTTCCTCCTCTGTTCTGCGTTTCTGAAACTGCATTTCTCAGACCTCCTCGAGGCTGGGAGTCATAGGTTATTTAGACCTATAGGTGACTTCAGTTCAGAATTGAGGTAAGTAGGGGAGAGAGGCAGGACACATGCCATCTGTTCTGGTGGGGCTTGTAATCTTTTATCATCATGTATTTATGTCGCTAGTGGTATGGCGATGACATCCCAATTTGCCAGGCAGCACGAATCTCTAGACACTTGGCCTAGAGTATTTTTGTTGATCAGTTCTTGCAGTCATTCACAACTCACGTAATTTTATTAAATAATTGCTTATACTGGGCTTATACTGGGCTACTGATACTGGGCTTCCCTGGATTGGGAAGATCCCCTGGAGAAGAGAATGGCTACCCAATCCAGTATTCTTGCCTGGAGAATCCATGGACAGAGGTGCCTGGCAGGCTACAGTCAGTGGGGTCGCAAAGAGCTGGACACGAATGAGCGACTAATGCTTTCACTGCATATGCAAAGCTTAACACAAATACCGAAGTTGGCAATTAACCAGTTTCTAAGAATTAAGGCGAAGGCCCGGTTCAAGGATATTCCTTAAGACAGGCGCTGAGGACTGGCTTGCTCAGCTTCCTTCCCCACTTCCTCCTCTGTTCTGCATTTCTGAAACTGCATTTCTCAGACCTCCTCGAGGCTGGGAGTCATAGGTTATTTAGAGCTATAGGTGACTTCAGTTCAGAATTGAGGTAAGTAGGGGAGAGGGTCAGGACACATGCCATCTGTTCTGGTGGGGCTCGTAATAACTTATCATCATGTATTTATGTCGCTGGTGGTATGGCGATGACATCCCAATCTGCCAGGCAGCACGAATCTCTAGACACTTGGCCTAGAGTGTTTTTGTTTATCAGTTCTTGCAGTCATTCACAACTCACGTAATTTTATGAAATAATTGCTTATACTGGGCTTACACTGGGCTACTGATACTGGGCTTCCCTGGATTGGGAAGTTCCCCTGGAGAAGGGAATGGCTACCCAATCCAGTATTCTTGCCTGGAGAATCCATGGACAGAGGTGCCTGACAGGCTACAGTCAGTGGGGTCGCAAAGAGCTGGACACGAATGAGCGACTAATGCTTTCACTGCATATGCTAGCTAGAGTAAATTTTGCTGTCTGTGTCTGAACTCTAACAGATTCCCTGGCACTGTGTTTATGATATAGATGTATGTGTAAACTCACTCATGAACAGAGAATGTGTGAGGTGTGTAATGTGTATGTCCACACTCAGGGAAGAGGGAGAGGTTATATGTGGTCCCTGGAGGGCACTCATGGACAATCATGGTATGTCCCCCACTAGACGAAGATGATGAGGACTACGCAGACTCAGACTTCATGATGCCCAAGTTCCAGGGCCAGCCCAGCGATGCTGTGGACGTCTTCTGTGGCCCGAATATAGGATTGGTGTGGCCCTGGAAGTCTCACACAGTTACTGAAGCCCTGGAGGTCCATGGGCACCGGCTTCGGGGCCAGTATTTGCCCCTTGATTATAAGCAGCTGCAAGAGGACCTGGACAACAGCCCCCAAATCCAGCAGGCACTGGCTATCCAACAGGCCCTGCTGGAGGTGAGAAGAGAGGTTTAAGAAATGGGCTGGTGGCCACCAGTTCCTGTCACAGCCGCCCACCTCTACCCTAAGCCCCTCATCTGCCTCTAGGACATGCTGCAGGAGGTGCAGAAATTCTGCAGGGACTATCACTGGATGACAGGCGTTTATGAATTCCTGCAAGCCTGGGGGTGTCAAAAGCTGGAATCTATGAAAGGTTATCCTATCAAGAACTACGTGATGCTGGTGACCCGCCTGAACGCTTGGCAGGCCCAAGTCTCCAGGATACCCATGGAGTTGATCACAAGAGGCAGGCTGCTGCTGCTGAGCTGCCGTGACATACAGGCCGAGATGGGTGAGTGCTGCTTAGCCTCCCTTCTTGTTTTTTTAAAATTTTATTTATTTATTTATTTGTGGCTGCACTGGGCTTTCGTTGCTGCGCGCGGCCTTTCTCTGCTTGCAGCGAATGGGGGCTACTCTCGAATTACGGTAGCCCTCCTGAGTAGGGGCTTCTCACTGCAGTGGCCTCTTGTGGAGCGCAGGTTCTAGCCATGCGGGCTTCAGTAGTTGCAGGGTGCATATGTGCTCAGTTGCTAAGTCATATCTGACTCTTTGTAACCTTATGACCTGTATTCTGCCCCGCTCCTCTGTCCATGGGATTTCCCGGGCAAGCATACTGGAGTGGGTTGCCATTTCCTCCTCCAGAGGATCTTCCTGACCCAGGGATCAAGCCTGCATCTCCTGTCTCCTGGATTGTCAAGAGGCTTCTTTAACTACTGAGCCTCCCGCGAAGCCCGGTAGTTGCATCCTCACTAGTTGTGGCGTGTGGTACGGTGACCCCATGGCATGTGGAATCCAGGGATGAGACCTGTGTCCCCTGCACTGGCAGGGGTTTCCTGGTGGCAGGACCGCCAGCGAAGTCCTGTCCTCCCTTCTGTCCTTCGCCTTCTGTTCCTTATCCACATGGCCCTCCTCACGCCTTCAGTGTCCCCCAGAGACCTTTGGTGCAGGGACTAGAAGAGCCTCCCAAAGCCCCAGGTCCCATCCTTCCCTTTGCCAACTGTCCACTACAGGGGATGGCCTCTCCATCTGTTTTGGCCCAGCTCATCCCCCATACTTCTCAGGAAAGGTATCTCTGTCACCTGACATTTTCTGTTCTTATGGTGTGGAAGTAGTCAGACCAAATGTGACTGAGGGAAATCTTAGCTTGCTCCTTAGGCTAGGAGAACTCAGTTTCTTTACAGAGATTCTCAGGAATCAAGGGTGCCCTCTCTCCACATGTAGCAGTCAAAATTGACACCACGATTTGCATGTATAAAAAGTTACTCTCTTTAACTGATCTTGGCTTGTTATGTAGCCTTAAATTCTGCTGATGGTGAAAGAACAGACAGTTGGCCCTCCATATCTGTATGTTCTGCGTCTATGGGTAAAATTCCAGAAAGTCCCAAAAAAGCAAAACTTGAACCGACAACTGTTTATGTAGCATTTACACTGTATTTACAACTATTTACATAGCATTTACATCGTTTTAGGTGTTATAAGTAAACTAGAGATGATTTAAGGGGCTTCGCACATGGCACTAGTGGTAAAGAATCTGCCTACCAAGGAAGACATAAGACATAAGAGACACAGACTCAGTCCCTGGATTGGGAAGATCTCCTGGGGGAGGGCATGACAACCTACTCCAGTATTCTTGCTTGGAGAGTCCCATGGACACAGGAGCCTGATGGGCTACAGTCCATAGGGTCGCACAGAGTCGGACATGACTGAAGTGACTTAACTTAGCACACAGCACAGAGATGATTTAAAGTACGCAGGGGGACATGTATAGGTTATATGCAAATACTATGCCACTTTATTTATTTATTTTTCATTTATTTTTATTAGTTGGAGGCTAATTACTTTACAGTATTGTAGTGCTTTTTGCCATACATTGACATGAATCAGCCATGGATTTACATGTGTTCCCCATTCTGAAACCCCATCCTGCCTCCCTCTCCATCCCATCCCTCTGGGTCATTCCAGTGCACCAGCCCTGAGCACTTGTCTCATGCATCCAACCTGGGCTAGCGATCTGTTTCACACTTGATAATATACATGTTTTGATGTTATTCTCTCAGATCATCCCACCCTCGCCTTCTCCCATAGAGTCCAAAAAAGTCTGTTCTATACATCTGTGTCTCTTTTTCTGTCTTGCATAAAGGGTTATCATTACCATCTTTCTAAATTCCATATATATGTGTTAGTATACTGTGTTGGTGTTTATCTTTCTGGCTTACTTCATTCTGTAAATGGGCTCCAGTTTCATCCATCTCATTAAAACTGATTCAAATGTATTCTTTTTAATGGCTGAGTAATTCCATTGTGTATATGTACCATAGCTTTCTTATCCATTCATCTGCTGATGGGCATCTAGGTTGCTTCCATATCCTGGCTATTATAAACAGTGCTGCTATGAACACTGGGGTACACATGCCTCTTTCAGATCTGGTTTCCTTGGTGTGTATGCCCAGGAATGCCTTTATAAGGTAACTGAGCATGTGTGGATTTTGGTATCCTCAGGGGTCCTAGAACCAATTCCCCTAGGGACAACTGTATTCCAACTGAAAGTGAACACTTTTTTTTTTCATTTAAAGTGGGACTTTTGGTCTAATTCAGTCTATCTGGGGTAATTGGTCAATTCAAAATTCATACTACAGTTCTGGGTGGTTCTGTTTCTCAAGCATCCTCAGCTCCTTTTCCTCCCCAGGGCGGCACCTGGCGTTGGAGAGGACTTCGGGGCCGTGTGCTCTTCTTGGCTGGCTTCTGTTGACTTCCCTGAGGTCTCTGCCCTCCTTCTGACCTTTGCTTCTGGCGCAGCTGCGTCCTGAGCTGGGGTAGCTGACATGTGTTCTCTCGGCTGCTGGGAGCCCAGAGTGTCTGCCCTAGCTGACCTGGCTCTGCATTGGCTCCTGCTGACACCACATGTCCTTGGGGTTTTGGTGAACCCTTCATCCAGTCTTTGTCCTAGGCTGGCCACCCCCACAGCTTCTGCTGAAGGGGGCCCCTTGCCTCTCAACCCGGGAACACCATCCGGGCCTGCTGGCTATCAACTCTCCACTGTCCCCTGTGTCCACTGCCGTCTGGGAGCTGTGGGATCTTGGGAACATTATATTTGCTCCTTTTTCTGCCGCATCACATCACACCCTGGTTTCTGCTCTGCTGTGACTGTCTCACGTCACACGAGTATAAGGGCACCCTGCAAGAGGGTCATCTCCCCAAAGCGATTACCTGGCAAGTGGAGCTCAGGCCCCCTGTGCCATCTATTCCCGCTCAGCTCATCTCAGTTTCCCGCTTCAGGTGTCTACCTACCCACCCGAGGCCAAGACCCAGTTGTTGGTCTCCCTGGATCTCTGAGAAGTCTGGTTTAAGACGTAGCCTCGTTCTTCTTTTCTCTTCTTCCCTTCCTATGGGCAGCGTGTCTCACACTACTGTTTGCGGGCTAAGTGCCTCCACCCAGGAGATGGCTGTGGAGAGACACAGAACACAGTAGATTGGGAAGCTGGTTCCTCTAGGAAATTGAGAGGTTGATCTATTTTGTGACCTAACACCCCCAGATGGCAGTGTCTGCTTCCTGCAGAGACTAGGTACTTCGAGACCCATGCCCTCTAGGCCTGCTTGGTTTATGAAGGTGGGAAGCCTTGGAGCTGAGCCTCAAAGTGCTTGTTTGCCTAGATCTCCCTGCCTTTGCCCCTCCACAGATGAAAGCACAGGCCTCCTTAGGTATCTCCGAGGTGACAGAACTCCCTACTCCTATCCCCACCCTCCCTCCTAAATGTTCAGAGGGTTCAGGCTGGCCAGGCAGAAGCAGGAGGGCATGTGACTGGCCTGCTTTCTTTCTGACCCTGGTTGCTGTGGGCTTTGCTCCACTCTTGCTCAGGAAGTCGGTGTTCTTTCTAATTTGTTGACTTCTTTGTCCTTACTCAACGGTCAGCTGACCTCTTTAAGAGGAACAGATGGAGAGCGCTGGGTTCAGAACTATGGTTCTGTTTTTACTGGTTTGTGTGACTTCATATCACTGAGCTTCAGTTTCTTTATTTGTAACATGGACATAATGTAGCCACTCACTGGGTTATGGGAAGGAGGATTAAATGAGATACTATTTGCAATATTCCTAGCATTGAGTATGGCATGCAGCAAATGCTTAATTTTTTTTTTTTTCATTTCACCTTGTTCCCTTCTGTCCACTTTCATCCTTCTAGTTTTATGCATTTATCCTGCCACTTTGCTCCTTTTCTATCTGGGCTCCCTTTAATAGAGAATGATAATGAGTTGACCTCAACAGAAATTTGAGTTCGTACTTTTCTCCCCCGTCTCCCTAACTCCACCACATCCAACCTGTCACCAAATCCTTTCCATTCTTCTGCCTCCTAAGTATCTCTCAAATGTATTTCCCCCTCCATCTCCAACTTGCCACCCGGAGGAACCCTGGTATTTTATCAGTCCACTGCTCCTTCTTACCACACGGTGTCACTGTTGAGCTCTTGGTCTTCACCAGCCTGGTGCTGCTGATCAGAAAGCAGCACCATTGCAATGGTCTAGCTACTGTCAGAGGCCAGTGGGACAGTTTGGAAAAGGATAAGTTGACATCTTTGTGTTCTGCTCCACCTTGAGTACCCCTTGGAGGTTCCCTCATCTTGATTTTCTCAGTTTCAGCTCTTGGTGCCAATTCCTATTGGTTACTTTCTTCAAAGCCCCATCGGATCCGTTCCTTGTATGTCTCAATTATATGCCCCTGGAATTCGCTATCCTACTTTCCAGTTGCAGAGATGCCCATGAAATTTGAGTCAATTTACTTTTAACCCTTCAAAGCATAAAATATAACAAGATGGAGCCAGGCTTCCAGAGTTTGAATCCTTGCTCTACCATATGAGCCATCATATTGGTATTATTCCTGTCCTTGGCGACAGTAGACTTGTTCGTATCACCAAAGCCAGCTTCCAAGATCGGCCACAAGTCCACCTGACAGCTTCTTTCCTTTAATCCTTAAAAAACAAAGGGCCAAGTGCACACTCTTCTTAGGCCTTCTTCTGCTAGAGCAGATGCAGTAAGACTCCTCAGAAACTGTTTATCTGGGGTGGGCATTCTGCTTCTCATGGCCATGGCGTTCCCTTGCCTTTGCATATGCTTTCATCCACTGGGTGTGCCCCTGGGAGCATTAACCACATAGTACAGGCAGCTCCAGGGCCCTCTTCCCTGAGGACGCTTTCCCCAGTCTCGTCAGGCTTCCCCCCTCTTCACTGAGCCAGGTTGAGGGCTGGCTGAAGAGCATTTATTGCACTGATGTGTGATTGTCCATTTATGTGTTTGTCTCTGCTGCCATATTGTGAGCTTCTGTGGGTGAGAACCTTCCTGTCTCACTCGTCGCCCTTGTCTGCTGGTGCCCAGCACGGGCCCTGGTGAGCTGCTGCTCATGACACCAGGCAGGGGTCCAGTATGTGTTCAGTGGCTGAGGCAACCAGTTTGTGCTCTGGTTTCCTCTTCAACCTGCTCTCACTCCAGCCTCCCCTGGATGCTCCCTTGGCACTGCAGCCCCTCATGCCTTGCTCTCTTCTGTCTTCAGAATCCAAGCTGGTAAACATCAGGAAGGACATTCTTGAACAGGTACAGAATGAATGCCAGAGCCGCAGTCAGCAGCTAATAACAGAGCTCACAGGCTTCATGAAGGCCTTCCAAACCATCAACTCAGACATCCACTCCATCGCATGGTGCTCCCAGAAGGTAGGCACTCCCCATCCTTCCTCCCCAGCTTATCCAGGGCCATCCCGCTCACATGCCAAGCACACTCCCTGAGCTCCCAATGGGACTTGATACCCTTAAACTGCATTCACCTGTGTGACCTGCCCTGGCCAGTTCTCACCCTGTTCACATGGCCCTCAGTATCCTCATGAAATGGGGAGGCCCTGATGTGATGAGAGAGCGACAGTCCTGCTTTCAGAGATAGAGTTCTGCTCTCTGTATGCTTAAGTAGAGATCCATTGCCCTGTCATCAGGGCAATGACTTGATGGGGGAGGAGCTGTGCTGTCTTCAGGGAGACCTCGGTCAGATGGGGATCTGATCCCGGACTGCTCTGATCTTGGTGGGTTAAAAGGCAACTGCTGGGACCTGGAGCCTCTAGCAGGAGGGGGTGCCCCTCAGGATGGGTGCAGAGAGGTGCACAGGGCTGTGTGGGTGCTGGCCTCACGCTGTCATCCCTGCAGCTGAATGAGGCCAACGAGCGGTATGCTGAGCTGGAGGAGCAAACGGAATACACGCGGTCCCTCTATGAGCTCATCCGCAACCACTTTGGCCTCTTCAGTGCTGAGAATGAGGCACTGGACATCTCGGTGAGAAGGCATCTCCTCTGCCCCTCCCGCTGCTCCTCCCATTCCCCACCACCACCACCTCTGCTTGACCGCCCTCTGCCTACCCCGCAGCTTATGGACACGTGGGAGTCATTCCAGTATGAGAAAAGCCAGGCCTCAGAGTTCCTGCTCAGCAAGCAGCATGCCATCGTGCCCAAGCTGCAGCAGCTGATGGCCGCGGCACTGGCGGAGCTGGAGGGCCTGATTGAGAAGGCCCTGTCTGGTCCATTCATGGACCCTGCACAGGAGCAGAGAAGCACTGAGCGCCAGCTCATCTCCCTGGAGCGTCAGTACCAGAACACAGTCAGCAGCCTCTGTGACCTGCACCATGCCTACACCACCTTCACTGGTACCCAGGGTCCCGCCCCCTCTGCCACCACCACCCTTGGGTGGTGTGATCCTGGGTGGCATGATCCTGGGTTGTGTCCTGGGTAATCCTAAGCAAGTCTTAGGGATCACATACCTTCATTATAGTCTCTTTTACATGCAAAGATTGCAGGACAAAATCTAAATCCATTGGGTATGTCAAGTGTTGTGCTTAGGGTGGGTATAAACGTTGTGCTTAGATGGGAGCTCATGGTCTGGAGGAGAAGGCAAATAGGTGAGTGTTCCATCAGAATGTGATGGGGTCAGAAGGCTAAAAGCCTGTGCAGAGAAATGTAAATGTGTTCTCGTCATAGTCCTTAGCCTTTGTGTAGCCCTGTTCAACTCAGGCCTACAGCAGGCAGCAGGTCCCAGATGAGAATGGGTGTGGACGCTCCATGGCCACTGCTTCCAGCCAGTGTGGTGGAGAGAGGTGGCTGCTGAGGGCTCCCCTGGCCCCGAGGAGGAAACCCGGACAGAACTGTTGGCCTTGGCCCTTCTGTGCAGCGTGCGGCTAGGCTGGTTCCCTCCTGCACGGGAAGTACTTTGTAGGCTGCAGGTTCTTTTCTCAGGTGCAGTCACTTCTGTCGCTCACTTGTATCCCTTGCAAGGGCATGTTGCCTCTGAGTTGACTCTTAGCCAACTGTTACCATCTCTGACTGTGAGGTCCCCAATCCCAGGGAGGAGACACTCTGGGACCATCCTAAAACAAGGGACTTTTCCTTTGGTCAAGTATTGGGGGACCCTCATCCCGTGCTCTAGCTGATGTAGACCACAGACCTTGGCCCTTCCTGCTAGTGGTCGGGATGTTTGTGGAAAAGTAGAGCAGAGGACTCTGGCCTTGTGTGGTCTCACCCGGAAAACTGCACAGCATTGGTTTTATTTCCTTTTTCCACCCCTGTCCCTTCACCAAACTCCCAGTTTTTATTATTAATACAGCAATCTAGGATCTTAGATCTAGACCATTAGTGCTACTGTTTATTTTCCATTCTGTGTCTTTTATTTTACTTGCTACATTTGACGTTTGCTTTGTTCTATAACCGTGTTAACAACTATTTTGACATCTAAGGTTGAATGGTTTTTGTTTACCCACTTCCAGTTTTAAAAATACCACACCTTTTAGTTTTTTTCACTTCTTCTTTGGATGGCTGCAGTAACTCTTTGAGTAATTGTTTTTTTCTAAGAAGGGAGTTGGGGGTGTTAGAATTTCTAAGCTACTTATGACTAAGAATGACTGTATAATGTCCTTATATCACAGCTTGGCTAAACATTGGATTCTGAAGTCAAAAAATTGGCTCCTCTCTCCTTGGGATTAAGAGGAGTCAAGAATGTCAGGGAAGGTGGAAAGCAGTTCTTAATGGGGGGACACTGCCTAGGTCTCATTCAGAAACTGATGTTTGATCAAGGACTCGAAGGTGGTGAGGGAGTGAGCCATATAGTTCTCTAGAGGAGAGTGTTCCAGAAAGAATGAGCTGCCAGCCAAAGGCCCTCAGCAAGAGGGAGCAGGGCTGGTGTATCTGAGCAATAGTGAAGGGTGCTGTGGCTGAAGTGGCATAAGTGAGAGGAACTCTAATCAATAGAAGAGGACACCTTCCCTTTCATCCCTATCACGTTTTCCTAGAGTTTCTTTCCCTGGACTAACTCTCCCTTGGTTTATTGTACTGAGCAGTTTTGGACACCATCCCCACCCCCACCTCGTCCCCTGCACTTTCAGGACCCTCCCTTCTGTCATTATGGGATCTTGACTGATCATGCCCGCCCGTCCCCCGGGCCTATCCCACAGGGGACGAGAGTCCTGTGCCCTTGCCCGTCTGTGGGACCCGCCCCATCGTGCAGCAACAGCACATCTGGCACCTGTACCGAGTCATCTCTGAAAACATCAGTGAATGGAAGTGCATGGCTTTTGCCAAGGTGCTGACGCCCTCCTTGGAGCCCCTGCCCGGGGGTGAAGCATCTCCGGGGGAGGGGGTGGGAGGGTCTCCAGCTGCCGGTGTGCCTCTCCCCCGACAGTTCAATCTGGCTCTGGCCCAGGAGAAGACAGACGGCTGGCTGACAGAGGCGGCCCGGGTGAGCGCGACCCTGGGGCTGCATAGCCCAGTGCTCCAGCGCTGCATGCACATGCTGGAGGAGTTCCGCAGCCTCCTTCCCCTGCTGACCAAGCTGGGCAGCCTCCAGGTGCAGAATCTCAACTGCCAAGCACTCCTGCGAGGTGGGTTTGGATAGAGTCAGAGGGCTGGGGAAGGGAAGGACATAGGGTTAGAACAATGGGACAACTCACTTCTCTATGGCTTTTTTTGGGGAAGCATCTTTCTTCCCTGGGCTGCCCTGACCTTTCCCCATGGACCACAGCCTCCTTCGCCTCACTGAGACAAGCATGTTTAACCTCCCACGCTACCCCGTGGATCCTCTCTGCTGCCCAGGGCTGGACTTAGGCTGGAGTCTTAGTTCTGGACTCTGAATTGTGCTCTGGACCTTGGGTTCTGGGCCCCTGCCTCTATGTCATACTTTGAGATGTGCTGTCTGGGCTGGGCTCGGCTGGGCTCTGCCAAAGACCGGGTATTGCTTTGACTTTCTGTCCCTCCACCTCCAGCCTTAGGGCTAAGCAGTCTCTCCAGCATAGAGCACCTAACAGTGGGCCAGCTGCTCTCTTGTCCGCTGCTGGAATTTACAGATCGAATCAATCAGGTGAGCCCTCCCCCTCCACAACCCCACTGAGGAGGGGTTCAAGCCCAAGGCCTGTTTGCTAAGCTCTGGTAGAGCCAGTTAAGACCCAGCAGTCCCTTGAGACAAGGGGGACAGCAGATATTGGTTTATGGGGAGGGGGTTGAGATTGCTAGCCTGCCTGGGGAATATGGGGATCTGATGGGTGGTTCCAGACTCTCCATGACTGAGAGTATGTCCCTCCTCTACAGGGGAAGGAAGTGGGTGGCAGCCCCAAAGTGGTGGGCACACAGGATGGCAGATGTCCCCCAATACTTACCCTGTCCCCAAAGAGCATGAGTTGATTGAGGTATTGTCTGCTTGGCCAGAGCTTTGCAAAAGAGTGGGTTTCAGGGCAGCAGCCCTAGGTCACAGTGTGATGCTGGCGGCTTGCCTTTGAAGCCAATGACCCCGCTCTCCCTCTCTGAGACCCGCACTCTCCTGAGCCCTGGCCCTCGAGTCCAAGCTCCAGGGCTATCCCTTGAGCCATCTCCCAGTCTCGGCTCCTAAGTCCTGGCTCTTCCAGCTCTGGAGGACTGAAAACATACGGAATCATGCCCATGAGGCACTCTTGCGGCTGCAGCGGGCCTGGGAAGCACGCCAGCTGCGACTGCTCAACTTCATCCTGCACGTGCCCTACGAGTCCCCAGTCTCTGAGCGCTCCAAGAGGCAAGCGTCCCGCAGCCCCCGGTGGCAGGTAGTGGGCAAGGACAGCGGCACCTTCATCCTCTCAGGTGAGGCCCAGCCCTTAGGGGCCAGAGACAGCAGGACAGGGTGAGGGCCATATTCATCCACCAAGCTCTGCTGGACCTGGCTTCTCTAGCCAGGTCCCCTGCCCTCCTGGACAGCCTGAGCCATTCATCTGTTCTGAGACGTATCTTCCATGCAGCTCCCACACAGTCTTAATCTTCTTGGGAGCCCCTCACTCCCCCTCTCCTGCCCAATGTCTGGCCTCTTCAGCAAAGGTCTCCCCTATTTATGGTCACATCTCCCCAGTGTTCAATGCTGTGTTCTCTAGGCTGCACCAGCTCATTCATTCCTTTGCCGTTCCCTCATCAAACTCACCTGCCTCTTTTGAGCCAAATTCAGGAGACTCTTGAGATTATCAGACCAAAGTCCTGTCTCTTATGAACTCCCAGACAGGGACAAGAGAACAGAGATGGATGTGAGATGGAGCAGTGAAAAAGTGGAAGTGAAAGTCACTCAGTCGTGTCTGACTCTTTGCAACCCCATTGAGTGTACAGTCCATGGAATTCTCCAGGCCAGAATTCTGGAGTGGGTAGCTGGTCCCTTCTCCAGGGGATCTTCCCAACCCAGGGATCGAACCCAGGTCTCCTGCTTGGCAGGCAGATTCTTTACCACTGAGCCATCAGAAGGAGGAGCAACTTGAAATGAGCAGGAGACTGAGAGAAATCTTCCATTTCCTTAGGAAAAGGCCTCACGCTGACTTCTGAAGGAGTACAAGTTTGCTAAACATGCAAGGGCAGAAGGGCTTGCTGGACAGAAGGAGCAGTGTATGTCCAGGCACCCAAAATGGTATAATTAGGGAACTGCCAGTAAAGGAGAATTCCTCTTATCCAGTCTAATTAAAACCCAGCCAGAGGATTCAAAAAGTTAAAGCACTTAAATAGGGCAGTCAATCATAAAATATGCATACAAGGCCTAAGATTTTTATTTTAGCTTAAATCATATAATGTACATTTATTTACTAACCTTTTAATCTAAGGACAAGAGCTTTTCTTTGATTTGCAGCCAACTGGTAGAGGTTCCTCACTGCCTTTGTAGTATTAATACATTGTCTGCTATTTCCACTTTCCATTTCTGAAAGTTGAGAAGTGATATGAGGACACTTATGAAGCTATCTGAGTCCAGAATTTTTCTAGAGTTTTATTATAATTTCACAGTTTTAAAAAATTGACTTGTCTATACCTAATTTGGGCTTCCCAGGTGGTGCTAGTGGTAAAACAAAATCCGCCTGCAGTGTAGGAGATGTAAAGAGATGTGGGTTCAATCCCTGAGTTGGGAAGATCTTCTAGAGGAGGGCATGGCAACCCACTCCAGTATTCTTGCCTGGAGAATCCCTTGGACAGAGGAGCCTGGCAGGCTACAGTCCATAGGGTTGCAAAGAGCTGGACAAGACTAAAGCAATAGCATGCATACCTAATTTAACATCATGCCTTTATTTTTTTAATAGTTTACCTTTACTTCTGAAGGCTTCCATAGTTTTTATAGAACCAGCAACTCTTTCCCCACCCGCATTTCAGTGATTAACATAATAATAGATTAAATTCTATAATTAAAATATAACTCACATAATAAACAGGACTTACATGAACAGTTTTGCCAACACACTCTGACTGTTGGTGAGCATATGGTTCAACTAGTGGAAGAAAAAAATGTTTGTATCTTCCAGAGAATAGTTTGAGATCTGTCAGTTTCAGTGTGTTTTGGGTATCAGTCACCTGTGCCCTTGCCTCATCTGACTGCTAGCTCAGCTCAAGTCCACTCTTCCTTAGATTACAGCAGCCTGCAGGACTCTATCCATGAAAGCCTTCAGGTGTTGTTCAAGATCCTGGCCATCCAGAAGTCAGGAAACTTAAACAGAATTGCTCTGGAGTGGGTGACCATCATGCATGGCCTGAGTGAGTACAGGCCTCTAGCTGGGCTGATAGGTGGGACCTGAAGGGAGATGACTCAGAAGGCTGGGGAGAGAGCTGCCGGGTGGGGGAAGACAGAGTGAGCACCACCTTCAGAGCCACTTCTTGGGCTAAAGTGACCAGGTCTTTATTCACGTTGCAGGTTTTCTCTCCTTCGTGCAAGGTCCTGGGGTCCTATTAAGCAGTTTTTTGGGGGGTAGGGCATCTCAAGAGGGCAGGAGGAGGCTGGTCCCTCTTGCAGAAGCTAGAACCCTAGTCTCCCTCCATTGTTCCCCTGATTGCCCTCACAGGTGCCCTGCTGCAGGTGTGGGTGACTTTCCAGCAGAAGTGGATCTTCCTAAATAAAGTTCTGTATGAGATGAAGATCCAGTTTCCCAGTCCTGAGCTGGTAGGGAAGTGGGTGTGGCAGGGTGGACCAGTGCTGCTGAACAGCAGGGCTCTGGGTTGGAGTGGCGGCGCTGCCCTCACCCTTGCCCTCTCTCACCACAGAGCACCCGTTTCGAGGCCATGGATGAGCAGTATCGAACCCTGATGCAGATCTCTGTAGCTGACCCCCTGGTTCTGTCACTCATAGTGCCCAGTGCCAAGCGGAACCCTCTTTTCCAAGGCCAGCAGCTGCAACAACTGCTGCAGGAGGGTTCCGTGGACCTGAAGGGCATCATCATGGCGCTGGAGAGCGTGCTCTATGCTGTGCGTGCCCACTTCCCCCGCCTCTTCTTCCTCAGCGACAGTGAGCTCGTGGCCCTGCTGGCTGCCCCACTGGAGTCCTGCGAGGCCCAGCTGTGGGCACGACGCTGCTTTCCTCATGTGCATGCCGTGAGCTTCGAGTCCAGTGAAACTGCAAAAGGCACGGATGACCCGGAGTCAAGTCCAAGCATACAGACTCAGGTGGAGGCGCTCGCGGTCTTCGGGGTGGGTGGGGAGGAGGTGAAGCTGCAGGGGTCCCTTCCTCTGCATCCTGATCTCCCCAAGTGGCTGGCCTCCCTGGAGGAGAGTCTGCGTTTGGTACTGGTGCACAAGTTGCAGGACTGCGTGGCTGCCCGTCTTGCTCTGGGCCCGTCCCTAGATAAGGCCTTCAAGCAGGAAAACCAGTTGCCCCAGGAAACCCAGTTACCCCTGAAGATGTATGTCCAGCACTGGCTGGACTTAGTCCAGGCCTTCCCGTGGCAGTGTGTGCTGGTGGCGGAGGAGGTGGTATGGCGGGCCAGCATGGAGGAGGCTCTGCTTGAAGGGAGGACCCTGGCCATGGTCCTCATGCATGTGCGCAAGCTAGAGGTATTGGTGCATTTTCTTCGGGCCCAGAGGTACTCTCAGGGTGAGCAGCCCCTGCCCTCTGTCCGCCAGACCAGTCTGCTAAGTGCCCTGCTGGTCATGGCGGTGACCCACCGGGACATAGCCCAGCTGCTGCAAGAGCACCAGGTCAGTGGACTGACAGACTTCCACTGGGTCCGCCAACTCAAGTATCACCTGGGTTCCCCTCACACCGCTCCCCAAAGCCCCCTGCAGGGTCTCAAGACTGTTGTGTCTACTGAGACCTTTCCGGCCCCAGCCGCATGCTGGATAGATGTGCTGGGTCGGTCTTTCCTATACAATTATGAGTACCTGGGTCCCCGACTGGGGTCCCTACCCAGCCTGCTGCCCGAGCGGCCAGCCCTCACGCTGTTATTAGCCCTGGAAGAGGTGGCCTGCGGGACCCTGCTGGGCCCCCGTGGTGTGGGCAAGGCAGCCATAGTAAAGAGCCTGGCCCAGGCCCTGGGGCGCCAGCTGGTGGTGATGCCCTGCTTGCCACAGATGGAGGCCCGCAGCCTGAGCAACTACCTGAACGGTGCCCTGCAGGGAGGAGCCTGGCTGCTGTTAGAAGCAGCTCAGCACTTGCCCCTCGGCTTGCTCTCTGCCTTGGGCCAGCGCTTGGCCAAACTGCACCACCTCTATGCCCCTCTGTACCAGGAAGCTTCCCGAAATACCAGCACCGTCGACCCCACCCACCCCTGGCTCCTCGGCAGCAGGTTCTTTGAGAGACATCACGTGGACATACGCCTTGGCTACGGCTGCCTCCTGACCCTGCGGGCCCTGAGCCCTGCCATGCCCGCCAACCTGCGCCAACTGCTGCGGCCTGTGGCACTGACCCTGCCCGACCTGCAGCAAGTCACAGAGCTGACCCTGCTGGGAGCAGGGATCCGGGATGCCCCCCGCACCGCGACCCGCCTATCCAAGTTCTTCTCCCTAGAGCGTAAGCTGGTGTCTGGGCCCCTGCCCTGCCGCCTACCCCTCCTCAGGAAAGTGCTAGAAGACACGATACAGGCTCTGAACATGACCAAGGAGGACCCCGAGCCCGAGCAGTCCCGCAGCCTAGCCACCGTGGAGGAGGCCACCCTGCTTCGCACCCTGCTGCGCTCCCCACTGTTCAGCCTCCTGGAGGGGGCCCACCTGCAGGACCTCCAGAAGCTGCTCTGTGGGCTCTTTCCCACCGCCTCCCAGGTGCTGGCAGAGCCTGCAACCCCCAGGCTGAGGAAGTCACTGCTGGTGGAGGAGTTACGGCAGGGAGGCCTGCATCCCAGCCCTGATATTTTGGGGTCCCTGGATCAACTGAGCCAGGCCCTGGACCAGGCCTCAGGCATTTTGCTCCTGGGTCCGGCAGGCAGTGGCAAGACCACATGTTGGCACAGCTTATTTAAGATCCAGAATCGGCTGGCGGCCATGGAGGACCCCACAACCCAGAGCCGCCAGCCTGTGGAAATTACTCACCTGTATCCAGGCGTCCTCAGCCCTCAGGAGTTCCTGGGATGGCTGGAGGGCCCCTGCTGGCACAGTGGTGTCTTCCCCAGGCTGCTGCGTGAAGCCAGTCGGTGTAGGACCGTGGGCCCCCGGGGACAGGTACAGGAATCAGTGGGGATTCATCACTGGATAATATGTGATGGAGCTTCCAGTTCTTCCTGGCTGGACCCTATCACCTGCCTCCTAGGTGACCCCCCACAGCTTAGCCTCCCCAGTGGTCAGCAAATAGCACGACCCCCAGGTACTTTTCTTCTGATGGAAGTGGGAGATACCACAGGCATGGCCCCCACAGTGGTGGGCCGTTGTGCCCTGGTGTGGTGTGGTGGGGAGCAGACTTGGCAGGGTATGCTGAGCGTCCTGATGGCAGCCTTGCCCCGAGAGTACCGCCTGCAGCCCCAGACTGTCACTGAACTCAGCCACCTGGCTGAAGGGTTGGTGCCCGCCACGTTCCAGTTCCTCACCTGCCAGGGTGTTAGCTCTCTGCTGCAGGTCCATGGACAGCGGCCCGTTTGCCCAGGTGTGGCTGAAGTCACCAGCCTGGCCCGCATCTTGCGTTGTCTGCTCAACCCACACCTGCGCATAGATGAGGAGGAGAAGGCACATATCCCAGGTGAAGGCAGGACTGATTTGAGAGCTGTGTGGAGGATAGTGGGGATATAAGCTGGAGCTTGTGGCCCAGGTTCTTAGGTGGACTTGGGTCTTGGGACTGAAGGTGAGAAGTAATAGCCAACCTCTACTGTCTTTCCCCACCCCCTCTTCTTTTTTCCTCCTGGGGCTCGTTTCCTGGCCATGGTGACCTTCACAGAGGACCTCAGCTATAATGATTCAAAGTGTATAGTGGCTCGAAGCATTAAGGCCTCAAAAACCAGCTCTCTGCACCAGAACCAGATTGACAGTGATGCCGTGCCTAGTAAGCGCAGGGAGCACTTGCTGGCCATCAGCAGCTTTCTTTTTGCTGTGATCTGGGGCTTTGGAGCCCACCTTCCCTCCAGGTATCTACAGGGGTGGAGGGGGGAGACAGAGAGGGCGGAAATGGAACAACCCATGGGTGTCCAAACCCTGGCGCAATTGTTGGAGAAGGGTGGGGTGTGCGAGTGTATGGAACTGAGTGTAACGGAACTGTTGTAACCATATGACACTCTCACCTGTGTGTTCATTTGAGCAGACTCTGGCCCCTCTATGACACCTTCCTGAAGGATTCTATTAGTTGCCTCTCCAACTACTCTGAGCTGCCACCCTCAGACTCGGTGTTTGATCTACATGTGTGCCCCGAAGATGGGACACTGGTTCCCTTCACTGGCCAATACCTGGGCAGCCGCATCAAGGGAACTCAGGGCACCTTCTACCCTTCTCCCCAGGTGTGAGGACAGTGGAGCCGAAGCTGGCGTTGGGGCTCAAAGAGATATCCTGGGGTGTACATGTCCTCGGCATAGCTAAGGGCTGCCTGCTCCCATTCCTTGAACCATTTTTAAAATCACAAGAATACATGAAGTGTTCTGCAAATACAGCTTTGATATAAGCCTCCTAAGACCTTTACTTTCAGCTAGATTACTGTGCTAGCCAGGAGCTGCCACAGTAAGCCCTGCTCCCGTCCTGCAGACCGAGCGGCTCTTGTACGTGGTGGACCTGCTTCTGTCAGAGGGACACCCCGTGCTGCTGGCTGGAGAGGCAGCAACAGGGAAGACAACCTTCGTGGAAGCGCTGGTGGAGCCACAGCACCCTTACATAAACAGCCCCATTCACCCCGCCGTCAGTACCACCCACCTTCGCCTCCTGCTGAGCCGGGCGGTCCACGGCCAATCACAAGCCAGCCCATGGATTGGGCGGCACCTGGATTCTAAAGGTTTTCTCCTCTTCCTGCTGGAGGATCTCCACCTGGCTGCTTCCGGTGAGGAGTCGGGAGGGAAGGAGTCATGGTCCTTTCTCTTGACTGTAAAATCCTTAGCTATATTTATCAACTCTGAGACCTACACCTACAGACCAGACTTGAGTGTTCCACTCTCATTACCTTCTCAGTCTACATATGCTCACCGAATAATCTCGTCCCTTGCATCCCTTGCAGTATTGACCATATTGACATTTAGAGAACATTATATCCACTGACTGCAAAATGTACTTTCTTTTCAAGTGCACATGGAACATCCACCAAGATAGACTTTATGCATAAAATCAGTCTCAACAAATTTCAAAGGATTAACTTTTACAGAATATTTTCTCTGACTGTAGCAATAAAAACCAGTAAGATAATAGAAATCCCCCAATTTTTGAAATTAAACAGCCCACTTCTAGATAACTCATGCATAAATGAAGAAACTCAAAGGGAGATTAGAAACTATTTTGAACTGAATAATAATGAAAACAACACATCAAAATTTGTGGAATGTAGTTAAAGCAGTGCTCAGAGAGTTTACAGCTTGAAATGCCTGTTAGAAAAGAAGAAAAATTTGAAATCAGTGATCTGTATTTTCAGCTTAAGAATCTAGGAAAAGAAGAGAAAGTTAAAATAATTAGAAGGAGATAAGTAATAAAGATCAGACCAGCAATCAATGAAATAGAATAAAAAGCACAAACAATAGAAAATATCAGCAAAAAAAATTTAAAAAGGTAAATAAAATGAATCCCCAAGTAACACAAATCAAGAAATAAAATAGGAAAATATACATTATCAATATCAGGAATTAAAGAGGTTTTATTTTAAAGATATTAAAAAGAATAACAAGGGAATATTGTAGAAAAAAAATTTTTTTAGAAAAACTTATAGTAATAAATTTAGTGATTCAGATGAAACAGATAGATGCCTTGAAAAACACACCTTATCAAAATCTGACTCAAGAAGAAAAAGAATAAAAAAGGAATAGCCCTATAGATCTATTAAAAATTTGAATTCATAATAATAAACATTCCCAGTCCTGGGTGGTTATTGCACAGTTCAATTATATCCAATATTTAAGGAAAAAAATGGAAACCTACAATTTTTCAGAAAATGGAGTAAATACTTTTCAACTCATTTGGTAAAGCCACCAAACCCTAATACCAAGTTCTGAAAGATATTTCAAGAAAATAAATTATAGGCCATGATCTTTCATAAATATATATGCAAAACAAATCCTCATGAGATATTAAGTAAAATTCAGCAACACATTATCATCAAGTGGGGTATATCTCAAAAATGCAAGTTGACTCAACATTCAAAAATCAATTGGTGTAATGCATGACATTAGAATAACAGAGAAAAGTATAAGATCATCCTAGTAGATAAAGAAAAAGCATTTGATAAAATTCAACACTATTTATGGCAACTCTCAGCAAACTAGGAATAGAAAGGAATTTTCTCAATTTGATGAAGGGCATCTATTGAAATCTATAGCTAGTTACATACTTGATTGTGAAATATTGAACATTTTTTCCATAAGGTCAGTCACAAGGCAAGAGTGTCTGCTCTCACTTCTTCTTTTCAATAGTGAACAGAGACTGCTATCAATATAATAAGAGAAAGAAGGAAAAACCTTTAAATTTAGAAAAGACAAAGTAATACTATTTCTACTAGCATATACATGATTTAATACATGGAGAGTCCTAAGGATCTACCAAAAGCAAAAACAAAACTACAAAACTATTAGAATAAATAAGTAAATTTAGCAGGCTCACAGCCTACAAAGTCAATCTATTGAAATCATTATTATTTCTATATCCTAATGACAAACAATCAGAAATAAAAAATTTAAGTATCATTTAAAATATCATGTACAAGCTTAAAGTATTTAGGAATAAACTTAGTGAAAGATACACACTGAAAATTACTAAAAACTGCTGAGATAAAAGAGAATTAAGTAAATGTAGAAATATGTCATGTTCTTAGATCAGATGAGTCAACAGTGTTAAGGTGCTTATTCTCCCCAAATTGATCCATGGATTCAGTGAAGTCCCAGTCTAAACTAGAAAGTCTTGGGTTTTTTGTTTGTTTTCTATTTATATATATATATTTTTGAAACTGAGACTCTTTCTGAGACTTACATGGAAATGTGAAAGACCTAGAAAGGCCAAAACAACTTTGAAAAATAAGAAAGTTGGAGGGCTTAAACTAGTGATTTTTTTTTCCATTTATTTTTATTAGTTGGAGGCTGATTACAACATTGCAGTGGTTTTTGTCATACATTGAAATGAATTAGCCATGGATTTACATGTATTCCCCATCCCGGTCCCCCCTCTCACCTCCCTCTCCACCCGATCCCTCTGGGTCTTCCCAGTGCACCAGGCCCGAGCACTTGTCTCATGCACCCAACCTGGGCTGGTGATCTGTTTCACCCTAGATAATATACATGTTTCAATGCTGTTCTCTTGAAACATCCCACCCTCGCCTTCTCCCAGAGTCCACAAGTCTGTTCTATACATCTGAGTCTCTTTTTCTGTTTTGCATATAGGGTTATCGTTACCATCTTTCTAAAGTCCATATATATGTGTTAGTATACTGTAATGGTCTTTATCTTTCTGGCTTACTTCACTCTGTATAATGGGCTCCAGTTTCATCCATCTCATTAGAACTGATTCAAATGAATTCTTTTTAATGGCTGAGTAATATTCCATGGTGTATATGTACCACAGCTTCCTCATCCATTCGTCTGCTGATGGGCATCTAGGTTGCTTCCATGTCCTGGCTATTATAAACAGTGCTGCGATGAACATTGGGGTGCACGTGTCTCTTTCAGATCTGGTTTCCTTGGTGTGTATGCCCAGAAGTGGGATTGCTGGGTCATATGGCAGTTCTATTTCCAGCTTTTTAAGAAATCTCCACACTGTTTTCCATAGTGGCTGTACTAATTTGCATTCCCACCAACAGTGTAAGAGGGTTCCCTTTTCTCCACACCCTCTCCAGCATTTATTGCTTGTAGACTTTTGGATAGCAGCCATCCTGACTGGCGTATAATGGTACCTCATTGTGGTTTTGATTTGCATTTCTCTGATAATGAGTGATGTTGAGCATCTTTTCATGTGTTTGTTAGCCATCTGTATGTCTTCCTTGGAGAAATGTCTGTTTAGTTCTTTGGCCCATTTTTTGATTGGGTCATTTATTTTTCTGGAGTTGAGCTGGAGGAGTTGCTTGTATATTTTTTTTAAAAAAATCCATAGAAAAAATTCATGATACATATATTTAACAAAGCTCTGTACCTTGAAAACATAAAAAAGCTCTTACAACTCAGTAAGAAAAACTCCATTTAAAAAATGGGCAAAAAACTTTGAATAGACACTTTAAAAAGAAAAATTTATGAGTGACGAATAGCACATGAAAATGTGTTTGATACGGTCATGCATCAGTGAACTCCAAATGTAAAACCTGTGAGACAGTACTTCACACCTACTAGAAAGAGTTTAAGTAGAAAGACTGATAGTAACTGTGAAATATGGAGCAACTGAAACCCTCACACTTAGCTGGTAGGAGCAAATGATACAACTATAGGGGAAAAAAAAGTGTGATAGTTTCTTCCCTGTTAAATGTATGTTCACTATATGACCCAGCAGTTCTGCTCACAGGTATTTACCGAAGTGAAATGAAAGCACGTGTATGTTCTCAAATAAAGTTGCACATGTATGTTCATAGCAGCATTATTCTGAATAGCCAAAACCTCAAAACAACATAAAAGTACATCAGTGTCAGTGGATCGACTGATGATATTTTCATAATGTGATATTTTCATAATGGAATATCACTCGGCAATGAAACAGAACACATTACTGATAGACGCAAAATGTAGATGAATCTCAGAATCATGCTGAGTGAAAGAGGCCAGACGTGGTAAACCACATACTGTATGATTCCCTTTGTATGAAGTTCTAGAATAGGCAAAGCTAATCCATAATGATAGACATCAGATCAGATAGAAATTCCTGGGACAGTGTGATAGGGGATTGACTTCAGCGGGGCAGAAGGAACCTTTCTGGGGTGATGAAAGTGTCCTAAATATCACTGGGGTCATGGTTCCATGGGCATATACATTTGTCAGAACTCACTGAACTATCTACAATGTGTACATTTTATTTTAGAGAAATAATTTCTCAATAAAGTTGACTTTATAAAAGCCTGCATGAGATATAACTCCATTATCTTTGACTGTGGTGACTATACTTTTCCCTCTACTGTGGTCAGATAAGGTTTCCAAACCTTTCTGTTCACTAACCTTCAGTTAATGAATATGTAATTGGTCTTAGAGGTAAGATTTGGCGAAGAAGGAAAAAAAAAATCACTCACTTCTAGGGAGAGAGAACAATTTCCTCAGACCTGACCCAGTCCCAACACCTCAGATGCATAAACTTCCTCAGAACCCCATGTGCACCAGAAGCAGACCCACAGAGGCAAGGAGAGGAGGAGCAGGGTGACACTGTCGTTCGGCCTCACGCGGGTGTTCTCTGTTCATGGCCCCCAGACCCAGAGAAGAGCTGTCAGCCACTGTTGGAGACTCTGCGTCAGGCCATAGACGGCACGGTGTATACCCACAGCACCTTGGAGCTGCAGACACTGCAGCCTGGAGTCAACTTCCTGGCCACTGCCACAGTGCCAGGCTTCTGTGAGCGGCCGCTGTGCCCGCGCCTCTCTCGGCTCTTCACAGTGCTGGCCCTGGGCAGCGTGACCCAGGCCACGCTGCTGAGCAGGCATATGCCCAGCATGCAGGCCTGGCTCGAGCGCTTCCCCTCTGTGGAGCGGGAGAGTGTTCTAGCAAGAGCCCTGGTTCGGGCCTCATTGGAGGCCTGGGAGGCAGTGGGCAACTGCTTTATGCCCTCACCCCTCCGCCCACACTACCGCTTCTCCATGCACTCTGTGAGCCAGCTTCTGGGCAGCCTGCAGCTGCTGCCCATCAGGATGGGCTCCCGGGGTTTTGTGGACTGTCTCAACCATCAGGAGCACCTGCGCCGGGTGTCCGGCTTACGTGGCACCCGCCTGATGATCATGATGGCCACGCGCAACATCATGCGCCTCTGGTTGCATGAGGCACAGAGAACGTTTTGTGACCGGCTGGACAGCCCCAGGGAACGCTCCTTCTGTGCCAGACTACTCCTAGAGGTAGCTCAGAATGTCTTCTGCTGTGGGCCGGCACCCCAGAGCCTGGGCAAGGGTTATGAGGAGGAGGAGGAGGAAGAAGAGAAGGTGCCTGAAGTGGAATCCGAAGGGGAGCTGGCTCAGTGGGAGGACCTGAGCAACAGCGGGAGTGAGACAGAGGAGGAGGAGGCCACATATGACCTTCCGGTCACCACAGGCTCACCGTGCAATGATTCAGCACCACCCGTAGCACCAGTAAGGAAGATGGCCATGGGAAGCATGAGTCAGAAGATAAGCCAGGAGGAAGGCACAAGGATCTCCAGCTACAAACTCCAGCCGAATAAATCTAAGAACTTGTGTCAGAAGGCAGCCCAAGAAGACATGGTCTCACCCTTGCTGCTCCCAGTGCTGCTACTCCGGCCCCAGGAGAAGCCCTCAGACCTGGTCTTCAGTCAGGAACTGATACTAGAGTCCAACTCTGAGAGCTCCAGCTTGTACCTGGAACGCCAGTGGGTGAGCCTGGAGGAGCAGCTGGCCACCTCAGCCGCTCAGCTGCGGCTGAGCCCCCACCTTGCCCGGTGCCACTCGATGGCCCAGCACGTGGCCCGCCTGGTCCGGGTGTTGGCCAGGCCCCGGCAGCATGGCCTCCTGCTCGCAGGGGCTCAGGGGACTGGGCGCTGTACTGCCATCACTCTGGCTGCCGGCATTTGTCAGACCCGCCTCTTCCGTCTGCCGTGTGGATCAGAGGAGGCCATTCTCGGGTGTCTAAGGGAGGTCAGCTGGCATGCTGGCATGTTAGGCCAGCCGGTGGCCCTGCTGGTGCCCAAGGGTGTGGACCATACTACCCTTCATCGCCTGCTGGCCCTGGCAACCTCAGGCAGTTTTCCTGACCTATACACAGAGGCAGATCTGGAAAACATTGAAGGACATCTCCCCAGGGACAGCCTTATTGTCAAGCAGAACATCAAGAAGGAAATACTGCTGCAGAGGTGAGGCCAAGACCCCCAAGCCAGGGGTAGCTCTGCTCTGGCTCCACCCTGGCTGAAGGCCAAAAGCCCCCACAAAACAAGGGCTAGTGAGGGGGCACAGAGGAGCAGGGTTGAGGGGTCAGGTTGGGGTGGGGACCTGGGTGGGCAAACAGGGACGGAGGGGAGGACAGTATCAGAGCTCCTGCCCCACAGGTTCTGCCACCAGGTGCGCAGCCACCTGCACATGTTCATCCTGATCGGAGATGACCAGGCCCACGATCAGCTACCCTCCACCCTCTTCCTGAGGCTCCTTCAGCTGGCCATCGCCAGCACTGACCGCTACGAACCCTGGGACCAAGACTCCCTGGTCGCTGTGGCCCAGCATCACCTGAAGGGTGCTCAGAGCCCACCCCTTGATGACGGTGAGCCCTCTTTACCTGTCCTCACCCCCCATCTAGACCAGCTTCTGAAGAGGACTGTTACTTGGGTCAGTCTCTCTCTATAACCTGGTTGAGCTTCCCTTCACCTTTTCTGCCCTCCTTCCTGAGCAAGAGGAGAGGATCCCTTTCCTTTCTTCCCCTACAAGCTCACAAGTCTAGGCTAAAGCCATGCCTGTTGCAGACCCCTTGAGGTTTCCAGACATCCAGGCCTCAGTTTCCAGCGTGGCCAAAGCCATGGCTCTCATCCACCTTTCGGCTGCCAGCTACCAAGGGCACCTGTGCCCTGAATTGCCACTCGCCACCCCCAAGACCTTCCTGGACTTCTTGGACACCTTCGTACTGCAGCTGCAGTGGATGACCCTTCACATTAAGAACAGGGCCCAGCGGTGAGTGACCCCCATTCCTTCCCCTGTATCTCCTTCCACTCCTTCAGGTCCACTCACTGGCACACTGTATCTTCAGGATACAGAATGCCCTGCAAAATCTGAAGATGCTGATTGAGAAGCACAGTGCCCACACCACCCTGGTCTTCAACTTGGAGGAGCAGCTGAAAGGCTCCCATAAGGTAAGGGGGAGAGGAGTTTGAGGCATGGTCAAAGCAGGAGCTCAAGCAATGACTTTGCAGAAACCAACCAGACTGAACGTTAGTTCTGGTGTCCTGAGAGTCCCACTTCCCCCAGGGGCTGTCTCTAATCCGTGCTGCCTCTTCCTCTAGAGCTCAGGCTCAAAGTTCCCTGTGGCACATCTGAAATCAGGCTGATTCCTCTAAATGCATGAAACCCAAGTGTCTGCTTCTGGTTGTCCCTAGTACCTTGACTGTGTGAAGTTCAGTATGCTCCCCAAGCTCTGCAGAGATTCCCATTGGGGATGGGGCAGGATTACATCCTCATGGTCCCCTCTCACTTTAATCCTCTTCTCCTGGATTATCTACTGCTCACTGCTGGTTGGCACACCTCTGGTAGTCATACAAATTTATATACTCTATATACAAAAATGTACAGTTAGGTATGGTGGGGAAATGCAGATGGGTGATGGCACTGGGGGCAATTTACATTTTAGAACAGAACCATAAATAGGTTTAAACGGTTTACTAAATCTCAGTGTCCTGTTTTCTGTCATCTTCCTCTACAGGGCATTTCCTAGTGACAGAGTTTTCTCTCCCTGTCCCATCTCCCCAGCACTGCTCCCAATGCTATTCAGTCACCCTATTTTTCCTTTAGAGCTTCCCAAAGTCAATGCTCATGTAACAAGAGATTTTTTTCCAGTCCTTACTCTAAATCCTGTTGCTTTCTTATACAGAACAATTTCCTTCTTTGAATAAACAAACCGCTCATATCTAGCTAAAATTGGTAGCAGTGGCATCATTACATGTTCTGTAGTCAAACACTCTCAGTTAAAAATGCTTTCCAAAAATAGACATTTTTTTGTTTTGTTTCATTTTTAATAAGAGGAATTCTGATATTTCATTTTTCCCCCTTTCCTGCTTACACAAAACTTTGATGGAGGTTCAGGAGTAACTACAGTGAGATAGTTACTAGTGATCAGTTCACAAGCAGATAATATGGCTTACTTTCTCCCGGGGTTTCAGGTCTTCCGGCTCCCCATGCCTAACCCTCTTCTTCCGATGGGTGTCCTAAGGGTTATCCTTCGGTGCTGGACAACCCCAGGGGCATGGCTTATATAGTATCTACACACATGGTTTTCACTCTGTCCTGTGGAGTCACCATACTACTGTTGCCCTCTTACCATTTGCCACGGAGGATCACTAGCTTAGATTAAAAATTAAGACTCGGTTGAGATGCAAAAAATTAAGAAGTTCATTGAGTCCTCTTTCCTATGATTTCCAAATTCCAGTTTTCTGTCTCAGGTCTTGCTTTTTATCCAAATGATTAATACCAGGGATTTTTGATATGGTTTAGGGGAGCTATTATTCTCTAATCCCTGGATCAGAACCTAAGAAGCCCAAAAACTGGATAAGAGATGTTAATAGTCTCAGGGGCATTCACTTAACAGCCATAACTGTGTGTACTTGTTTCAGAGTTGCCCACCAGAGGAAATGGTACCACCCTCCACTTAGTCACTTAAGCTGAACCTCAGGAGTCATCTTGGACCCCTCCATCTCTCTTCCCTTTCATAGTCAGTTGGTTCATTTATTTATGACTGTGCTCAGCAAAGCTTAATTGAATTCCATATTTTTTGTGTGAGCACTCATTAATACTTTTGTCCATGTCTCCCATCTATGCTGGCTTCTTCCCTCATGGCTCAGTTGGTAAAGAATCCGCCTGCAATGCAGGAGACATTTATGTTTACATCTAGATAGACAGAATTCTCACCTCCACTCTTTTAAGGAGGCCATTCTTTCTTCCATTTTACAGATGACAAACTCAGATCCAGAGAGGTTAGGATGAGGATTAAATGAGGCCTTT